CTTCTATCCTGACATAGTGGTAGTTTGGTCGACTACCAAACTTTGTGAAGGCAGACAATTGTTAGAAATTCTCAGCGCTGAGTTTCTACGGGCTGCAGTATGAGTCCCTTTGACGGTAGGTATTTTACTACTCCCTGATCAAGAGAATCCTGATCCGCGCGCGCGCATGTCTACACACTTCGGTACCCATAGTACCCCAATCTCACCCGCCGGGTGAAAACGGTGCTGAGGCAATCGTCAAACTGGCCGTACATGCTCGTGTCACCTCCCTGTATTTTACTACTCCCTGGTTGTAACCCTTCCTCTTCTCAATCTATAATTATGTTATAATTTTGCAGATATATTCCCAGCAAGCCATGAACGGAGACCCCCTCGACTTAGGCCTCTAGCTCGGCCTTTAGGGAATCCATAAATAAAATTTAAAAAAAACTTGCTATCACTCCAGTCTTTACTTGCTATCACTCATAGTTTCCTTCTACAAATGACTCATCCTACAGCACAACTAGCTCTATCACCAAGAGTGCATAAGAGTGCATAACCCCAAGAGTGTGCAACTCCTGGTCTCCGAGCTATGCGTGCCGTCTGCTGCGCGCTGGCTGCATTACATTGTGAAAATGATGATCCAGCTGCCTGGATTTGAGTTTTCCTACGGTTTAGCCTATACAATTTCACGTGCAACACTGTAAGTTCAAACTCAGGCAGCGCCTATATGCGTGACGGATCACCACACACAAAAGCAACAGCATCGTCCAAAGTCTCCGAGGAAAGCGGATTTCGAAGCTGGAAACTGTAGCAGATCAATAATGACGCAATGGCACACATTCCGTGGCTACGTAATGCAGGCAGCGCCCCGCACCAGACCCCATATGCGGAGTTGCATACTCTTGGGGTTATGTACTCTTTCTCTTGTTCACCTAGCATAATGATAATTATCCATATAAAAATCGCTCTGTGAGCGGTTCTGAAAAACCTTTACTGGTACTGCCCCGTCGTAAAAGTAAGAAATTAGAACTGGCCCATTGTCCCCCCAAATGCGAACTGATCCACCTAAATCGCGAATGACGGGACCCGAACGCACCAGTAGCACGAGGTCGGGAGGGCACAGGATCATAGGGTAACACTAGTAGTAGTAGAATTTATTATTTTGATAGGGAAGCCTACCGCTAGTACAGTACATGGCCTATGCCGCTATGGTCCAGACCAACGTCCCCATCTGCATCCACGGGTAGAAACCTCGTGCTACTGGTGCGTTCGGGTCCCGTCATTCGCGATTTAGGTGGATCAGTTCGCATTTGGGGGGACAATGGGCCAGTTCTAATTTCTTACTTTTACGACGGGGCAGTACCAGTAAAGGTTTTTCAGAACCGCTCACAGAGCGATTTTTATATGGATAATTTCAGCTCTTTTTCCGTTCCCTCCCCACCCCAACCCCGAAGGTAAACATGATGACCACGCGCGCGATGTACTGTATGTAGCCATGCGACTGCAATAACACACTGATACATACCAGCCCTCCCCGCCTCGCTACCCCGCACACAGATACACAAACATGTGTATGCACACGGCACACATACGTGGCCACGCACACATACGCACATGCACACGACACAAACAGGAAATTCTTCATGTATAATGCCATGCAAAGCAGTGGCCACCGTACTTGAGGAAGTCAGTTGTGAAACAAAAATAATTCAACTACAGCGTGTAGACAAGCTGGCGGCCAAAGCACAACATAGCAAACATGACATTTGCCCAAGGATTGCAGTTTGCAGACCATGCCATGGAAGCAGCGAATACAGAATGTAATATCATACAAAGTGACAAGCAAGGACGTGGCCACCATACACCAGAAACTTGCAGAAAGTCACATATCCAACAGATAGAGAAGTGAACAGCAATCTGATACAGCCCACATAGGACAAAGCGGACCTGATACTCGTCCCAGGATCGCAAGTGGCAAACCCTTTTCAATGCATAACATGCAGGTGTACGTTAGACGCATGAACATCTGACCGTGTCGCCAGCATACAATGTCATCACATGTTTACCCCACAAGTTACACACATGCACAGTAGAAGCACAATGAAAGCAATGGAAAAGTACGATGTGGTTGCTGAAGCATCTTCACACTTCAAATTCAGACTTCAATGTGGTCGTCACGGGATGATATACCTGCAAGATACAAGTGATGAAGCAAGAAAGCAGAAGGTCGTGAGGTAGGCTATGAGACACCACAAACGGTTCACCTACATGTCTGTTCAGGGCTAGTGCACTCACACGGAGAATTGTCATAATCGAGCATTTCCCAAACTGAGAAGTGCAATGAAATCCACTTGCATGCACAGGAGCAATTTTGCAATATTATGATGCGCAATTCGACACGATCTGCGATGCTGCGTGCGATGTGCCCCTGCTGTCATGATAGTGACAGTCACCACTGTATGTTTTGTCAACGTCGCCCATGCACTCTTCTGTCAAGTCCAAAGTGCTCACATACTTGGCAATGTTTTTGCAGTGATTAACATTTATCCTAGTTATGTCACGGGTAACTTTAATGAAGTACCCGCAGGCCGTGTCGATCTGCACATCGTCCACTCTCTCATGTACTTGGCCTGCTTTGTCTGTGTATCCATTTCATGTGCGATCCACAAAATCGACTAGACAGTGGGTGCAATACGCTCTCTACCTGAAGACGTTCTTCTGGCGACATCTCGCCATGTACTTGGCCTGGCTTTGTCTGTGTATCCATTTCATGTTCGATCAACAAAATCTCAATGCACTACAGAGACTAGACAGTGGGTGCAATACGCTCTCTATCTGAAGACGTGAACCATTAAATTTCTTGGAAAAGTTATACGTACACCTGAAACGTAATGAAGTACAGGAATAGAGAGAGTGACTACAATACGCTCTCGACCTGATAATAGTGATAACGTGAGTACAAGACACTCTCCACCTGATAACGTGTTAGAAGGTAACATGTCTACAGTCCCACCGTACCCTTCCGACACGACTGTAGACCATTAATTTTTTTTGAGAAGTTATACGTACACCTTAAACGTAATGAAGTACAGGAATAGAGAGAGTGACTACAATACGCTCTCGACCTGATAACGTGAGTACAAGACACTCTCCACCTGATAACGTGTTACAGTAGTAGAAGGTAACAGGTCTACAGTCCCACCGTACCCTTCATCATTCCTCATTCACCATCGCGCGATACCCTGGCACACACTGGCAACATATCAATGGGGTGCCTTACCGTCGTCTAGAGGAGACGTCTTCGCAGCAATATTTTCCCTCCTGCGCATTCAGTCGCCGACGCGACAGCGTTCACGGGGCCGTTCCAGTTGCGGAAGACATTCGATTCATCGGGCCAATTCAGAAACGGGGCCGTGGACACACAGGGGGCAGAGGAGAGACATTGTTAGTGGACAAGAAATATGCAGTGGCAAGTGGCGAGTGCCGCATGGATGTCAAGTTGTCATGCACAATTCAGCTATTACTTACGGTCCAGCTAGTCCTGCCATTGCTCGCTCGTGCTGGTTCCTCCTCGTTCGTCTTCCTGCACGTCTGCACTTCTCCTTCCCCACCGTTGGCTTTGCGGTACGAGGGTGCCGGAAGGAATTCGCATCATGTATCCATGTACATGAAGTCCCACCATGACTCTTCATGTACATGTCCACGGCCACGTCAGCAGTTTGTATAGTACCGGAAGGAGTTCCCACGATGTCTCCAAAGGCCTAGAGCGGACGTCTTTGCAGCAATTCTTTTCGCCCTGCGCATTCAGTTCGCCGACGATGTCTCCAAAGGCAAAGGCCTAGAGCCTAGTATAGTAGAGGGGACGTCTTTGCAGCAATTCTTTTCACCCCACACGTGTAGTACCCTGCACATTCACTCCGCCGACACGACAGCGTTTACGGGGCCGTTCCAGGTGCAAAAGGTCCACGTCAGCAGTTCTCAACTATTTCGCGTACGGGATAGTCGCCGCGACAGCGTTTAAGGGGTCGTTCCAGGTGCAAAAGGTATCCATCAATGGCACTTTGCAGTATGGGGTACGGAAAAGGGGCCTCCTCGTTCGACTTCGTCGACTTCTGCAGTTCTCCTTCCCGTCAGGGGTACCGAAAGGGGCCTCCTCGCAGTTGTCCTTGCCGTCAGGTCCACGTCATGCAATTCTCAACTATTTCGCGTACGGGATAGTGGTCTTTGTCGTACGCGACATCGGCGTTTACCGAGTGGCATTGGCACAAAGCAGACCGTTGACGGGGTCACGTGTCAAAAAGTATCAACAACGTGTCGACTACGTGTCGACCACGTGTATAGCGGTACACTCAGCGGTACACTAATTCTCGTGCCATTCTCGTGTCACAAAACTGGAACATCGAGTACCAGTATGGAAAGGCTTCAGACAGGAAGCCTTTCCAATAATACTCCATATATAAATAGGTCAGTGAAGAAAGCGGATGGGGCATGTGCAGAGCAGTGCAGCAGTGCAGGCTCAGCACTACACCTGGCATCCTACCCGTGACCAGCCACCACACCTATCTGTAACATGTACATGTATGTGCCTTCCAGCAAACAACATTGCGCTGATCGCTCATGCACTATGTTGCGACTTGTAGCCTTACTAGTTGTAGGTGCCACCTGACATGATATTTTTTTTAATGAATATAGTCCACTGTGCAGTCCACTATACAGTGGGTTTGTTCACTATAGAGTCTGGCTAAGGATAATCTCCCAGTGATTGCGTCGTGGCAATAAACTCTGAGTAGAGACTGACTGGGATTTCCACTGGACCCTATGATATATGTGTGAACACAATGAATTCTTCGGTTTGTACCAGCTATTTTATAATTTTCTGAGAATTCGCAAACTCCATTGCAGCCATTTATTTTACACATTTAAAACAATCTTTCACAATCCAAACACTGATCATGCACGGTCTTTCTGCTGCACATGTCACATGTCACGTGTCACTTCATATTCACCAAATTCTCGGGGTGTAGCCCATCGTTAAAGTAATAGTTGAAACAGTGAAACAAAAATGCACACTACCAAGGAATTGACAAGTTTACTAGTATGCAGTGGGGCGCTGTAGGAAAGTGATGAGAAGAATGCAGGTGAAGAAAACAAAAGGGCCAGATATAATAGGTGTGTGTGTGTGTGTGTGCGTGTGTGTGTGAGTGTGTGTGTGTGTGTTTTGTGTGTGTTTTGTGGATTGTATAGCAGCACTGGTGAAAGGTGTTGGAAGAAAAGGTGGGAGAGATTCAGAGAGCCATGTCTGTGTGTGAACGTGTTAGTGCAACATAGAATCAGAATGTAGCTGGAATCATACGAATAGGTGTTGGGTCAAAGATGTAGACAACTGTTTCCGGAAGAGTATACGGTATAATGACTGAGCTAGCACACACATACACCAAACATTAATGTGCCATTGTATGCAAAATCACAGTCCATCACTACACCAAAATGCACCGCACTGTGTCCAGCAGTGCACCGACGACCATTGCTTCACGCATGCGATACTTTACGAGGGACAACTGTGTGATTAGAAATGATGCTCCTGAGATGTGTGTAGAGGTTATAGCTTGCTATTGGTGACATTGTCACGGCATAGTGTTCTCCCCATGAGGTGGCTGGTGCTTGAACTTTCGCTTCTGCAGTGCTGCTCAAACCTCTTCCTGGCAGGGCTCTCCGGAAAATCTCTTTAAATGCAAGGAAGTAGAGAATTCAGGAAATGCTATATACAGTCATGCACTTATAGGGTGTATCAATGCTAACCAAATAAAAAATCCAAGCAATTGGTGTCGGTGAACCCAAGGAAAAATCTCAAAAACAACATTTTGGCTATGAGAAAGAACACCAAGGAAACTCAAATGAAAAAAATGAAAATAGAAAGGCTGATGAACAATGCTTTAAAAAGCACTCCGGGTGCCATGTGAACATAATTAGAACGCGAGGTCAGATGTGGCATCTACTGGCTTTCTGTTTTCGTGCATGGCTGCATTTGATGGATGCGGCTATGAGCTGCAAGGCATTAATCATGGCATTAATCATGGCCCTTTTACTGGGAGGTATGGATTGATGTACACTTCGTCGTTGTTGGAAGGCTGCAAGTCTTGGTAAAGATCATCTTCTGGTGGCGCTGGAAGGAGAGCTAGGGGCACATCGTCAAGATGTCCATTGTCCGGATTGGCTGGTTTAAACCGGTTTTCATTACAGGCACTGCTGTTGATATAGACAGCTGTAGTGGGTACCAGGCGTTTCGTAGGGGGAGGACAGTTATTGGTGAGAACTGACGCAGCGTTGATGTACTCCCCCGTGAAAGCTTGTTCACCATCTGTGAACTCATCCGTTGCACAATAGTAGACTTCGGTGACGTCACTAGGTGCTCCTAGGGTATCCCCGCCATTACTTGCACAACCAGTCGTTGTGATATACATGTAGGTATGTTGATTGTCTTCTTGCTCTGCACACTTGCTGGTGATCATGGTAGAAGCATCAACGTGAGCCGCGCCTGTCCTACCACACGCTGCCGGCATATCCTCTGGAAGCAGATTTCCTTCATCATTGCCTGATTTCCTGTGCCGGGTGGTGTCCACCCAGCCTAGCGTTGTTGTGGTTGCTGCCTCTGCTGTAAAATGTTGATCCATTCCCGTATTCCCAGCAATTGGTAGGGCGGCACTCTCCGTCAGAGAGGTTGTATAAGTATTCCCTGTCATTGGGTCCATGGGTTCATATACATCCAGACTTGGTAGACAGCCAAGGGCTTCAAGGTGGTTAGGCAGCAGTGAGAAAGAATAAAATACGTACACAGTAAGTAAATTGCCCATTCGGATAGAATACAGGAAATGAAAACCAGATGGTGGCAGAATTTAGGATTAAACTCACTTTTAAAACACACACACATAATATCAAGGCAGGTCATTTTTGGAGTAACCAAAACGTTTTCTCGTGACGCTCATCAGCGGCCATGGTCTGGTCAGGCAGTTACCCCAATTTTTCTTATGTAGATTGCTAGGAATTGGATAAGAAACTCCCAATTTCGGAAAAATTATGCAGAAAGTGATCACGAGTTTCCTGTTGTTTTGATGCTGGATTTTTTCAGGCGTGCTGCGACCCACAGTTAATTGGCCTGGCACGAGGGAAACATGGATGCCGTGAATGGAATTTTCGGTCTTTGACCATTTTGTGGTGGGTCTGATCTACTCAACTCCCACAGCTTGGAAACTGCATCTGCACCTTGATCCAAGAGGGTGGTGGCGTTCCTGCGGATGTGGAAAACTGCGAACCGTGAATTTTTTTTGAAGCTGGCAAAACGGTGTTTTGAAACAATTCTTCTTTTCTTTTGCAACTGTGGCACTGCAACTAAGTTTTATTGAAGACTGTACAAGTACGTATACATTAGCACTTTAGCAGTGTTGAGAGACCGGGCATACCTGCATTTTTGCACTGGCTTTGACATTGTTGCGGTGTACTTGACGGAGCATCGTCGGTGATGGTTACAGCCATTCTAGATATGTGAACGACAATAATGACATTAGCACCATGTTAGTATGTATGTTAACATAGCACCATGAAGAATTCAAGGAGGGCACACTAGGGATAATAGTAGCTGATAGCTGGAAACCAATCACACTTTTACAGTCACATCAAGCCAAGATGCATCGATACAATCATGTATGAATTCGGAATACTATACAGCGACGGTATACAGTGAAGTTACTGCGATCACAGATTCATTGAAGAACTGAAACTGTTTGTGGGGCTCAGTGAAAACGAAGCACAGCCATAATTATAAACCTTCAACTTGCAGATGGTTTGGAGCACGTCCAGTTAATGAGTATCTCATATTCCAGGGCTGTAACACAGGGCTGTAGCACCCGGCCTGGCCGGTTCGCGCATGGCCGGACCTTATTGCGAAAAAGGTTGACCCGTCCAATTCTTGCAAGACGGGTTACATCAATAATGTTCACCTCTGGTCAAGTATCCAATTTGAGCAGACCACCTGGAATCCCCGTGCTACGGTTCTATTCTCACCTTTTCTTTCGTCGCCGACCCACAAAAGCCAAGGTGATGATCGTGATGATGATGACGAGAGCACAACATACTACCACTGAAGGTATTACAGCAACGTGGGTAGGCTGGCTTGGACTGCTTGAATGTCTTGTAGTTGCGCTAATGTCTGACGCACAGCATTAAATTAAAAGATAGAGTGTGTGTGAGTGAGAGAGAGTGAGAAAGAGTGAGAGAGAGAATGAGAAAATGAGAGAGTGAGAGAGCGAGAGAGTGAGGGAGTGAGAGAGTGAGAGAAATAGAGAGAGAGAGGGGAGAGGGAGAGGGAGAGGGAGAGCCAGAGGGGGTGAAGGTGAGAGTGAGGGTGAGGGAGAGGGAGGAGGGAGGATAGACAGGAAGAGAGAGAAATAGAGAGAGAGACGCATTCACACACACACACACACACACACACACACACACACACACACACACATACACCATGTACCATGTATACGCCCGGCGTCACAAGAGAAGCACGCAAATCTGCAAATGCACTGGATGTGCACCCACAGATTTTCTCTTTATAGCAACGATAGCGGATCTGATTCTGATTGAAACAGATCAAGACAAGCGCCAGATAACTGTCTAATCCACACAACTGGCGAAGCCATGTGAATCGACCCCCCAATGCACACCTGGTCTACACCACACGGAGTACATCGGAATAGGACAGCCAAGACAGTTACCTATGCACACCCTACACTTGCTGGGGTAACCAGTATAGACAGCACGCTGCTTTGATAAAAGTAGACACTAGATGCACTGGTACCTTGAAGTGAAATTGGAGTTATTTTACCAACCAGCCTCGGCAACACATACACACACACACACACACACACACACACACACACACACACACATACCAAGAGAATACATTCCACTGAAAGGCATGAAATCAGTCCAAACACTATGCTAGCGCGATCCTTTAGGTGTTAGTGGTAAATGAGCTGCTATCTCTGAGTTCCTCACCAGTTGACGCTGGTTCCGCCAGTGACGATGAAGACATAGGCGATTTGAGTAATGTCTTAGGCTGGGTTATTTCCGGTGAAGTCGTCACTAGTGTGGTCACATGATTAGTGGTTAGTGGATTGGCTGGTGTCATAGTTGATGTGGTAGTCAGTATAGTAGTTGATGTTGTGGTGGGAGTAGTAGTTGGTGTTGTCACCACTGTTGTTATTGGTTCTGCAGTAAACAGAAAATAAGTGACATGGAGTAATAATTGTTTTGGTCAATTGTCAACGAACATCCTCCCTGCCCAAGAATTGTCTAACTTCAGTTTTGTAGTAGAGAAAAAAGGACCAAGAAACTACAAGTTACGCTATAAAGTCCACTAACACCACCAGTTACTAAACAATCAGCTAATGCGATAACATTGCACGACACTGACGTTCTGCAACTCCCCTCAGTTGAGCTTGAGTAGGCTGAGGAAGATCGTGCTTGAAGAGCAACACTTATAATTATACGGCTCTCCAGGCCAAACCATCACCAGGCCAGGGGTACAAAGTTCGCTACAAGCTTCCAGAGACGCTCCGTTTCCAGAGCCCAGAGGCAGCAGTGTGAGTCAGAATTTTGTCAGGGAGTGGTAAAAAAAAAACCTTGAGAGTATTAGCCATTCACCTCCAACAATAGTCGCAAGTCCGCTACATGGCATGATTTGAACCAGAAAATGAACAGTCAGATCCAATGTTGACAATATGAGTGCGAATATGATTCTATGAATTGCATGTTGAAAAACACTCACGTTGTCTTTGGCAAACAGATTTTTGAGAATGAAGGCTGCATTGTAGATTATCCCATCGAGCTCCATAGGCATTGTGGCTTGGGTTGTACCACATTGTCACACACAATTGAATATATACTCCATGGTTAGGTTGTCCATCAGCCCAAGGGTGAAACAAAATATTGTTTCCATCATCTACTGTGGTCCAATTGAAATTTGGATGATCCATGTTTGACCGAATTCCAATCCAGGTAGTTGTGCCACTTGGTTTAGTCTGGTTAATACATTGGTTCTCCATGGCGTTGCGTGGAGTAGCTAGCTTGGTACCGATCCCGAGACTGTTGCAATGATGCACTGCCTCATCAAACGTCTTTGCAACATCTACATATGTATACTCTATTCCATGTGGACCAGAAGGACACGCCATCCAACCTGAATGGAAATGATGAGTAGACAGAAAGCCAATTGGAAGGAAAATTCGGAATGTGCAAGCAGGAAAGATTGAATATGATTGTATGCTTCCATAATCAGACCCAGGGGCAATGAAAGGACACGTGACATTAACATCAAATTACAACGCATCGTAACCTTGGTGAAGATCACATGCACTCAGGCTGTGTAACAATGTGCAAGGGTGTAATAATTTGAAACTGTCCACCTCTCCACACTCCGCTCTTGGCCAACATTCACAACACCGTAGAGAGTAAGTTCGCTCTTGGATAGATCTTCCATATCCTCGCGACAGCTGTCTCGCTTCTTGAGAGCTCATCAGTGGAGGTAGATAACAAATGAATAGCAATTTATATAGGAAAAATTCAAAAGTCGACGTGGAGACAAGAAACATAATATTGACGAAAGTAAAATGAGCGCACTCATACCACGAGAAACAATTGAACAAAATGTTAAAATTTTAACGTCGTTTCCATGTGATAATCATCAGAAATCGTCATCACAATGATAGTTGGACAACAAAGGAAAGATATTTATGGTACCATAAGGTGACTCAAACCTTATATCAATTCAGCTCTTCTTCATGATCACGGTACATACACTTAGCTTGAGAGTTTGCGTGAAAAGCAGCAATGGCCCTGGACGGGCTCGGTTATTTTCAGTAAATTTTTCGTCGCCAATTTTCCTACTTCATTCCCATAATACCTTCCGGCGATGGAGTATAGCTTCACTTGCTATTTATCGAATCGCAGCTTGAACGGTAGTTACAGCTTGAATCATCACAATCGAGAACGGAAGGGTAAATCTGCGATTTCCAACGGCAGAAGAGAGTTGGAAAGCTTGTGTCTTCGTAAATATCTTGAACATTAGTTGGTTGCTCAGACTGCACGCAAATTTTGAGATTTCCCTGAGAGGTGATTTGTAAAAACTTTACATGAAAGTAAAAAAGGCTATCATTCCGTTGCCCCGGCGAGTTTTGAAGTGTGCAAGGTCTCATTCTGTCACTCTGTATGTCCTCTATCCACTTATGGACTTCTTGATCGCACACCATAAACACGAGAGACCGCGTTAGCCCTTTCCCAAAGATGCTCGCCAACTTTTCGTTGTTTAGGAAGAAATCGCAACTTAGGCCGCGGTCACACATGCACTTTTTTTGGCGGTTCCGCCAAAGCGTAACTTACGCTTCCGTCGTTGCCTCGGCAACGGCGGAGGCGTAAGTTGCGCTTTGGCGGAAAGTTTGGATTTCGTAACGCCAAAAAAATGAGAGCGGAACCTCCGCTTTCGCTGATCCGCTTTGGCGGAACCTGCATGGTGATGGCTTTGGAGTTTGGTGTGCTGCTTCTGCACTGAGTTCTGGTGTTGTTTGGTTGCCGTTTGGTATTCAGTTTTCATATTGTTCTTCTTTGCCAATGAACTGTGCGTTCTGGAGATCTCGCAAACGATACTGCATCGTTATGAGCGGATAGTTCGTGAGGGAATCCGTCTCCCAACTCCTTGGCCCCGATCGTGGACGATCTCCAACTCTCTCCTTCTCTCTCCAAGCAATGCGTCCACCACAGTATGCAGCACTGGGACTGCACCAGGGAGTAGTAGAGTACTCTGCCACACCATCACTGCAACGGCAGGCATCCCCGTCGTCGCTGGGGTCGATGATGGATCATGGAGGAGGCAATGACACCCTGCTATACAACTATTTGATATTGATGTAAACTAAACTAATATTCAAATACACCCGTACTGGGCTGCAGTGAATGTGCCCCAAATCCACGAGTGTACTTGACAGGAGACATTCAGCAGCCTGTCAGCGATCCACGAAAGCTCTACTTGTAGAAGCGAAGGTCGCTTCAACTCGTACAAGAACATCTAAAATTGCATAGGACATGCTGCACTTGCATTCCCTGCGCCAAAGCGGAGCGTTGATCAGCACTGTAGTCTACATGTATGTGCGACCGCTGCATAGTGTGTTCCGCGAAAGCGGCTGCAGTAGTTACGCTTTTTGCCTCCGCAAAAGTGGTGCAAGCTTTTCATGTGTGACCGCGGCCTTAAGCAACTTTCGCAACTTTCTTCATTTTCCGGAACTATTTCGCAACTTTTCCGCAACTTTGGCACAATTGGCCCCATGGCATGGGGTCAAAAGGTCAAGTCACCGATTACATGTCGGACAAATGCACACTCGTGCTCGCTCATTTCTCGCCTGCCTTCACTCTTCAGACTCGTTCCAGAGAAACAGTAGATCAACGGTAGTTACGATAATGTGATTCCCTTTTCCGTGCACTGTACATGTAGGATACCTGTACATGCAACAGGCTACTTGCATTGTGTAAAGTGGTGAAACACAGCAGGAAGGGGTGTACGAGTTTGCTGTCGCTGCACTTCTGCTATTTCTGCTCCCTTTTCTGTAGGTTTTTGCACACGAACTCTCCAATTTTGAGTTGCGATATTACCAACTTTTGAGCTTTTTCTGAAAATATGGATGCGATTTCAGCAACTAGCACTTGTTTTAGCACAGTTGCGAAAAGCATAAGTTGCAAAAAATTATCGGGCATCTTTGGGAAAGGGCTACTGCGCGTGGGGTTACTTTACATGCATTTTTCACACAGAAAAAGTGTGTACAAAATTTTACAAGTCAGTAAAATAGGGTCTAACATCAACAAATTTACTTGTAATAATATGACCTAAATGTATCAATAAGCTTGCAATTAAAAAATGGGAAATGAAGATACATCTGAAGCAAGTCACATACAGAGAAATCAGATTGGTTTTGCAGGTAGACCAACATGTTCGCCGTCAACTCCGGTTAAATTTGACCGCCTGCCGGCATTGTAGAGCATGAGCACGCAGACCTGATCTTGCTGCTTCACTTCTTTTAACTTCCAGTGTATCGTCATGTGTGAAATAATCACACTAATCAAAGATACCAGCCATGGTGCTTGCCGGCAGTCCCGCAACAGTGTGCCCTCGTGCATCTGAGCCACAGTGCACTTAACCCGTACATACTGACAGTTAGCGGCCGTCGTGAGTTCCCTTCGGGAACGGACACGATAATTTACTTTTATTTTTTTTATTTTTTTTACTGACAGTGGCGTGGCTTCCATACTCTCCAAGACAAGTGCAGTGACTCCTTCACCTGACTCATATAGACTTCTGTGTTGGACTGCAGACCACCCTCAGTGGGTGCTCCGCCGTCAACATCCAGCATTTCCGGCCCTTGCCATTTGCCATCATGAATCTCTACCAGCACTTCTGAGGTAGCAAGCTGAGTTTCCGACATACGTACTGAACAGCTAATTATTCACCTGTATGCCTAAAGCATCAGCAGCTTCGAACTTGGATTTGAATCACCTTTCATGATAGCTGGGAGTGAAGTACACCTCTTGAAGTACATGTACATTGTACTGATAACATTGCAGTTTCTGACCTTCACCTTTTTGGCTAATCCCTTCTTCAGCCCTGCTACTTTTGACAGTGTGGCAGACTCAATGCCGATCTCGGGAACCAGCCTAGGGTTTCCACCTGCCGTAGAATATGCCCGCTGGCTCTTGGACGTCCTTCAAGTATCCATTGAGGATATTTTACCACATTGATCATAAATTTACGAATTTCGAGCCATGATTGATGGCTCACAAGGCCGTGGAAGAAAACAATTCCGCAAAACGCTGCTGATGCTTACAAACTACTATACAGTAGCAACTCACTAGTCTGTCAAACTAACAAAAACACTTGATGGGAAGAGTGCTATCGCCCTCAACAATGATATTTTACTCGATTTGTAAATTAATATGGCATGTAATCTTTTTACAAATCACCTCGCAAAGGCTCTTATTTTACCAGAAAATGCAACTGATCAATGACCGTATTCCTGTCATTACGCAGTGGCCTTTCGTTGGTGCAGTCTGTACCCCACCTGCCAAACCCTGACTTTTGGCCGTATGTTGATCGGTATAATGTTCAATTCTATTAATTTTGCTTTCTCCTCGGTCTTGTGGCTGTGGAAGCTACGGCTGCTTTTCAGTGTATGCGTCGTGGTCACAGCTTCAGGGAGAAGGACTAGTGGCACAGGGGCAATTGATCTGCATGGGAAAAAACTATATGGGTCAAGTTGAACGGAAGCTGGATGATGACCGTGTTGGTGAGTGTCCGTGGGCGTCGAGATACCGTCCTGGGGCAGGGATGTGGGCTCTCTTGATAAGGTGTTGTTACTAGCCCTTTCCCAAAGATGCCATAATTTTTCGCGAGTTATGATTTTTCGCAACCTTGCCAAAACAAGTGCAAGTTGCTGAAATCGCACCCATTCTCTCATGAAAAGCTCTAAAGTTGCTAGCATCGCAACTACCTACTTTGAAAAAAGAGTTCTTGTACATGCGATAATGCCAAAAACCACCAAAAAAGCGGGAATAGCAGAAGTGCAACTACAGCAAACTCTATACCCCTTCTCGCTCTGAATCACAACTTTACACAGTGCAAGTAGCCTGTTGAATGCATCCTCTATCATTTCAGTGCACGCAAAAGGCAATGCACATAACGTAACTACCATTGATCTACTGCTTCTCTGAAATGAGCATGAAACCTGAAGGCACGCGGGAAATGAGCGAGTACGCATTTGTCCGACATCAAGTCTGGGATTTGACCTTTTGACCCCCATGCCATGGACCATGGGCGAAGTAATTCGCGAAAATGAAGAAAGTTGCGAAAAAAAGTGGCGAGCATATTTTGGGAAAGGGCTAGTTGTCACAGTCAGTGTAGCTAATACATGTACTTCCTTTTTGAAGAGAAACCACGCACCTCGAGAACAAAATACTGTATGATAGAGGTGGCTGTGGTGGTGAAACTGGAGTATCTCCGCCGACCTGAGGTCTCGGCTTCAGTGATACTTCAGTGCACAAAGACGTGGGGAGGAGTACATACAGGAGGGGGGGGGGGTCGGCGAGGGGGAGAGCTAAGCCATTATGCAGTTCCCTTGATCAAGCGCTGACACCCCCTCTATGTCATATAAATCTTGCTCTACTACCTCTCATTGGCCACAGGCCATAGTGAGGATAAAGATGTAAGCTATTATTTCAAAACAACACCATGCTTACCGGTATCAGTACCATGGCTAGCCTGTACTTGATGTAGTAGAACTGCCACAACAAGTATGGTCATCAACACACCATACGTGTACACCTGCATTGTTGTCTGCTGCAGAACCACTTCTTTAGAGAAACAGGTCAAATGTCTCCTCGACCATGTAACCCACGCTAGTTTATAACTGTACCTCCAGATTACCACAACAAATATGCTGGTCTACGTGTGTGCGTGACTGCGTGTTCTAGCCTAACTACATGTAGGTGTAGTGTGTTGTGTGTTAGGGACTGCTGCTACAATGTCACTTCGCAACCAGTCTTCCGTGCTCCGTATTCGGCTCGTTGTCTTGCACCTCAACGGCCCCAGTCTGTGAAGTTAGTGAGTTGTTCGCCTCTGCAAACCGCGTATGCATGAGACCACGGATATGCAGCAAACAAACCCATCAAACCCATGCCATGGATACAATCATGCGCTCCTCAGACCATCAGTAACCTTACCATGAGTCTATGACGTCAGAAATAGGTCCTAGTCTTCTTTGTATAGTTCATCGACAGATTGCTAAAGCTGGCGACATTTTACAGTATCGTTCCACAAGCTTCCTCCACCATCCCACGGAGTTTGGGTACTTATGTGCCTGCATGCATGGGCATGTACCTCGATGAAACGAGTTTAGTCTTCAGCGATAGCGAAGTTGGTATGAGCGACCACCTTCGTACTACTGATGAAGTCGTTGCTTCTCAGTTCCAACGTTAGGAGTGTATATTTGTTTAAAGTTTCTTTTCCATCGACTTTAGGATATTTGCACGACTGCGAGAATTTAATTAGACTGAAGGAAGAACTAGAGGGGCCTTTGGGTCAAATTTTGTCTCGACTGAGTATCTTCGCAGCTGCATTGGCCGACTATGACTACAGTGTCCCGTATCGTAATTATCATCTATTTGTATTTGTATTTTGTATTTATGGATTCTCCACAGGCACAGGCCTCTCTCTAGGATGGGTAGAGCTACAATGCAGAGTCCGTTGTCGTGTCATGGTTGCCTTGGCAGTACCAGTAAGCGACCAGGTCCTCCGTACGCATATCCGCATCCGAAAAGCTCAAAAACAGAGCACTGTCTAGTTCCGCTGAGTAGCATGTCAAATTTAAGCCCAACGGAAGCAGACCAATGACTTTTTTTGCCGTAGCTACATGACATTATACCTGGTACAAGCAGTATTCTTCAAGTAGCGGGTATGTGCATGTAAGCATGACCTTACTCCCTGCTTTAGTGGAGGAAGCTTGAGGAAGGGTAGTAGATATGATGCCAGCTTTGGCAATCTGTCGGTGATGTAAACAAAGAAGACTAGGACTTGGTTCTATCAGCAATACAGTAATAAGGTTTAGAGAGGAATGCATAATGTTTTCATGGTTTACTACCGTGTATTCATGTCTTTGCTAGCTGCATCCCACGCATTTGCTGTTCTGTGGCGACGCAGAGCTAGCTACCATACAGATCTGCGGTGCAAGGCGTCGGGCCGGGATACCGAGCACGGATTCGAAGATTGATTACTTTAAAATGCCACTCTATCCGTAGTGTTGTCCCACGCATCAGCTGTCTTTGGCGACGACGAGCTGACCTCCCAGGACCACAGTGCAAGACATCGGGTCGAACAAGGAGCATGGAAGATTTTATCAGAAACGCCATTCTATCAGTTTTGTCTAGCACAAATAGATCTCGCACTCACATGGATCTGCATAATGATATTTGTGCTGATGTCCGAAGAGATGTACTAATCATATAAACTAGTGCATGCTGGTTACTTGATCAAGGAGACATTAATATTTTGACCTGTTTCTGGAAAGAAGTGGTTCTGCAGCAGACAACAATGCAGGTGGACACATATGGTGTGTTGATGACCATACTTGTTGTGGCAGTTCTACTACATCAAGTACAGGCTAGCCATGGTACTGATACCGGTAAGCATGAGTGTTGTTTGAATTTCACATGTACTACTGTTGGTGTTTCTGAAAAGGATTTCTCTTCCTGCGTCTTTCAAAGCAATGAAGCGTGGGCCTAAAAGACTGCTCTCTCTCTCTCTCTCTCTCTCTCTCTCTCTCTCTCTCTCTCTCTCTCTCTCTCTCTCGCTCTCTCTCTCTCTCTCTCTCTCTCTCTCTCTCTCTCTCTCTCTCTCCCTCCCCCCCTCTCTCTCCCTCCCCCCCTCTCTCTCTCTCTCTCTCTCTCTCTCTCTCTCTCTCTCTCTCTCTCTCTCTCTCTCTATATCTCTATCTCTATCACTCTCTCTCTCTCTCTCTCTCTCTCTGTTGTTGTTGATTTTTATTTTGCTTCTCTCTCTCTCTCTCTCTCTCTCTCTCTCTCCAACTCTCTCTCTCTCTCTCTCTCTCTCTCTCTCTCTCTCTCTCTCTCTCTCTCTCTCTCTCTCTCTCTCGCAAATCGTTTTGAACCGTTTACACGAAAACGGAAAACGGGCGATCAGGCTGGAGTAAACATGCACCGGCCTGGCGCAAGGGCGGGAAGGAATACGTAAGTTGGGGTTGGTACATGCTGGTGGTCGCAAGGGTTGGGTATTTCCCGCGAAATATAGTCCCGCGCGGATTGGTTTCCATGACCGCGCTACGTTTCCAATCGTTTTCACTGTTTTCACCGTTAACACGAGAACGAAAACGTTTTGAAAATGAAAACACTTTGAAGTGCGTTTCCATTTCGTTCCGTTTAGGTATCCTTTTCGGGCATTGTCGTGTAAACGATAGTAGTAAACGCAACGATTTCTTTCCGTTTAGGTCGTACTTTGTTGTCGTGTAAACGCAAATCGTTTTCAATCGTTGTCGTGCAAACGCAGCCTTAGATACAGTGACGTTCCGTATCCTGCGCGACCCCCCACCTGGTGAGCAGCGAGCACCAGGCCGGCAGCAGCAGTGTGAGTCAGTGTCAGTGCACGTGGAATTGTGAGAATAGACGCTAACGGCCAAAAGTATTATATATATAAAGGGCCATTGGCGAAATCATGGCTTTGGGAATTAACTATAACGCTGCGAGACTCGTACCAGGAAGTGAACCAGTAACCTCTTTTGGCCAGGCGCATTCAGCACTATTTTAAAGTTTAGAACGTGGTCTGTCTCATTGTCCAGGAGACAACCAATCAGCGACGTTCCAGCCAAGGGCCTTATCAGTGTGCTAAAGGGGAAGTTAAGCCTAAAATCAAATTTACACCAGTTGTAGTCGTCGGGGTGCTGAGTCGAATGGTCTTGGTCCGAAGAAGCTGAGACGCTCCCTTCCTCCTTTGTTCCCAATCGAACTCGCGCACTTCCACCGAAACTGGGTGACTGTGCCCTACTAGATTGGGATTTGTATGCAAAATGTCACTAAAACTAGTAAAAGCGCCGTTTCGTTCTTATAAAAGCACGGATGACCGCGATTGGCCCATATGTTGTAGTCTTTTGGACGCTGAGTCGACTGGTTTTGGTCGGAAAAGGCTGCGATGTAGCGTTCGGCCCTTATTCCCAATCGAACATGGTTGAACAAACGGTCACGTGCTCCTGCGTACACCAGTCACCTGGTCACCGCGCCAGCAGGCGACAAATTTCACACCAAGGTTCAACTCGAAGGTGCAAAGGTTCAACTCGACTCGAGTGACAGAAACTCGCTCAAACATGCTGTCTCGTAGCCTGCACGACCATGCAGGCACAGCGACCAGGTGACTGGAGTAAGCACGAGCACGTGACCACTTGTCCAGCCATGTTCGGTTGGGAATAAGGGCCGAACGCTACATCGCAGCCTTTTCGGACCAAAACCAGTCGATTCAGCGTCCAAAAGACTACCACTTATGGGCCAATCGCGGTCATCCGTGCTTTTATAAGAACGAAATGGCGCTTTTAGTGACATTTTGCATACAAATCCCCATCTACATTGTAGTAGGGCGCAGTCACCCAGTTTCGGTGGAAGTGCGCGAGTTCCATTGGGAATAAAGAAGGAAGGGAGCGTCTCAGCTTCCTCGGACCAAGACCATTCGACTCAGCACCCCGAAGACTATAACTGGTGAAAATTGATTTTAGGCTTAACTTCCCCTTTAACAAAATATAAAAAATTGGTTGTGAGCAACACTGGCTCACACTCAAATAACTGCTTTTCACCAGAAAAATATTATATTTCAACGTTTCGGTCATGAAATAACCATCATCAGGAATGAAGTGGGCACACCGGTTAGGATGGGTTAATATACGAGGAGCGCTGCAAACTGATAACAAATCACACCTGGCCTATTCGCTACGGTGGTGGGCGAACGCAAATGTGGAGCGGCAGAACCAGGCCAATGCAGAACCGGACACATTCGACAGCAAAATTTGGCATATCAAAGCCCACGGTTTTGAACAGGGTCCAAAGCTGCCAAGGGAAGAAGAATTCGGCTTGGCCAGTTTCAAGCGCGAGGTCATGAATATCTACCGAACAGCGTCAGCTCCCCGGCCTAACATGTCTCGAAAAGACCGCGAGCGGCTTACCGACCTCCGCGACGATGATTCCGTGGTCGTCAAGAGGTCCGACAAGAGCAATACGTTTGTGGCGATGAAGATGGCAACGTACCTTGATAAGGCCGAGACTATCCTGTCAGATGAGACAAAGTTCACACCCGTCAGTGTCACCATCGATGATTGGGAGAAGCAAACGCGCACCATCCTTCAACGCGTCTGTGGTGGTACACTAGAGAAGGACCTGTACCAAGCCATACTCCCTGGCGACAACAGGTTTCCGGAGATGTATGGCCTACCTAAAGACCACAAAGCCACGGTACCGCTTCGGCCAGTTGTGTCAGCTGTTGATAGCCCGGTGACCAATATTTCTATTGTCCTGGAGCGTATACTCAACCAATGCCTGAAGTATGTCCCAGCACATCTGAAAAACACGCTGGAAGCACTGGAGGATATCCGGCAAGTGTATCCCGACCTACAAGCCCCAGCGGGGACCATCATCGTTACGATGGACGTGGTCGCTCTTTACCCAAGTATCCCTATCGCTGAAGGGGTGCAGGCGGTTGCTAGAGTCCTGCAGCAGCACATCGAGTCTGTTGACACATTTGGTTTAAGCGTGGAGCAGATCGAAGAGCTGTTAACCTTCGTTCTAAGATCCAATTATTTCAGATTTGGTGAGAAGGTCTACCACCAGAGGGAAGGCATCGCCATGGGTAACAACCTAGCGCCCCCGTTTGCGATTATCTTCATGCATGACCTCGAAACCTCGCTGTTGCTAAACTCGCCTGGTGCTCCCGTACTCTACAAGCGTTATATTGATGACATCATTATGCTGTGGACACTGGGGGCCGCGCTTCTCCGCCAGCTGATTGCGTTCTTCAATACCGCCAATGCGAGCATCAAGTTCACGTATCAATCTTCGGAGGAAACTGGGTCGGTTGACTTTATGGACACGACTATTCATGTCTCCTCCGAGGGCGCAATATCATTCGAGCTGTTCCGCAAAGCTTGCCACAGTGGCCTCGTCTCAGACTTCAACTCCTGCGTTCCGCAACAGCAAAAACTCGCCATCGCGTCTTCGGAATTCCTCCGCGCGGCCCGCCTTTCCTCTGATCCTGCAGCCCGCCAGCGAAGTGAGCAAAAGGTTATTGACACATTAAAATTCAACAATTTTCCTGACAAAGTGATCGCGACTGCTCATGAACGAGCCAGACGACCTGCTAAACAGAAGAAAGACTATCGATCCACGTTGAAGTTACCATTCAAAACGGATGCCATCCACTACAGGGTCCACCGTCTTCTAAACAAATACAATCTAAATGTACAGATAATCTACAAGAATGCGAGGCTTTCCAACAGCGTCACTAAGTCCAGCCTCACTGGACCTTGCTGCCGTAAGTGGGTGGATCCCGCTGCCCCGAGGCGACGAGGAAGGCCTAAAGCCGCCTGCGTTGCATGCCAATCGAGCGAGGTAGAATGCACAAGACGCAACGTGGTTTATCGTCTGACCTGCAAGTGCTCGGAGAAGTATGTTGGAGAGACTGGCCGCAGTGTAGCAACGCGAACAAAAGAACACAATGATAACTCACGCAACAAGACGTCTGGAAAAGCCCTGGGCGAGCACTACCGACTTCACCATGGCGACGAGGTACTGCCGCTTGGCGAGTCGGCATTCACAGAGGTTCGCGTCCTTGCCACTGAGTCGGATCGGGCCAGGAGGAGAATACGCGAAGCAATACAAATTCGCGACACGAGCCCCAGCATAACGTCCCCACTTTTACCTCCTGCCCACTCACACTGGTCCCTGTTTCCGATCCACTCTACTACATTCCATGATCACCACGTGGAACTCCCTGCCTACCGAGATTAGGATATCTGAAACCCGTGGTGTATTTAGCCGGCACGTTAAGTCCCATTTCCACAGGTATAGATTCCATCCTCGAGGTTTTCTCACTTCCTGATTACCCCCCCCCCCCCTTCTTTACCAGTACCCTTTTCGCTTGCTTCTACGATTTCTTATTTAACCTCTTCACATTAATCTTTTTTTATTGTAATATTTTCTTTCTTTTAAGAATTGCACCCTATTGCACACGCATTGTACACGTATATTTATTCTCGGAGACCCCCTTGATTTAGGCTTCGGCCTTTGGGGAATCCCTCAAATAATAATAATAATAAACAATAACGCAGGGTGGGACCTCCTGTGAATTCTCTGGTGAGGCCTTGTACATATTTCTGGCCCTGATACTCGCTCTTCCTGGATGGTGGTGGTTTAGCACCCCTTGAACTAGTGCACTGTTACTACTACTGTTGTTGCTAGCGCCTGCAATTACATGTCTGCACGCACCTAGTGCACATGTACATTCTGTTTGTTGCTTGTACCTGTGCCATTTTTAGAGTTGTCGCGTATTGCGTTATTTCTATACCTGGATTTTTTTTGGTGATGTTTTGTCCTTTTGTTCTCTCTCTCGTCATAGTGCATGCAGGTGTGATTTGTTATCAGTTTGCAGCGCTCCTCGTATATTAACCCATCCTAACCGGTGTGCCCACTTCATTCCTGATGATGGTTATTTCATGACCGAAACGTTGAAATATAATATTTTTCTGGTGAAAAGCAGTTATTTGAGTGTGAGCCAGTGTTGCTCACAACCAATTTTTTACTTATGAAGCTGCGTGATGCGTCCTACAAGATTTTATATTCCCCTTTAACTACTGAAGTAATCTTCCACCAGGCTACGCCTGCCGGGTTTGTATTTTATATTATTATTATTATATTAATGGCACTTGGGTCTGAATAGGGACGCATGCATGCATGTACTGTGTTGTCTTGTCTTGTCCTGCTTGCAAGCCCTCTATTTCCCTTTCAATTATCTCTTTCTTGTCATCATTGTCATTCAGGTTGGATGACGTGTCCTTCTGGTCCACATGGAATAGAGTATATATATGTTGATGTTGCAAAGACTTTTGATAAGGCAGTGCTTCATTGCAAGAATCTCGGGATCGGTGGCAAGCTAGCTACTCCACGCAATGCCACGGAGAATCAATGTACTAACCAAACTAAACCAAGTCGCACAACTACCTGGATTGGAATTCGGACAACTCCCAAAAATCCCGATTTCAATTGGACCACTGTAGATTCTGGGCATCCTATTAACTTTGCACATTGGACTGCTGGGGAACCAAGCTCAGACAAGTATGTTCATCAACTGTGCGTAACAATGTGGTATAACCCAAGCCGAAATACATATGGGTCTCGATGGGATAATGCAGAATGCAGCGGCCATGCTCAGTTTGTGTGCCAAAGACAAAGTGAGTATTTAGGCAGTTAATAGCTGGGAGTAGTGAAGTGTTTTACGGCTCCCTGCTTCATAGTAATGGGTTGTTTGTTTGTTGTTTTTTTATTTAGTGTCGAAGAACAAACAGGCAAATTTGCCTAATTACGTGATATCGACTAAAAGGAGAGTATAAAAGGCCAGTCAAGGTAAATATGCTGAATAGAGTGGGTGATAAAGTATTAAAAGCCAGTTACTCCAGTAAAGGAAATGGTAATAAAGCGGGCAGTGGCGTTACTGAAAAGCAGCATGTGCTGGGAGGGATAGCATAAATCAATAGTACTGCGGGATTTTCCTGATGTCGGGCTGGAGCCTGTTTCTGTTCATGTGTACATTCCAATCACAAACATTGGATCTGGCTGCTCATGCCAGTGTACTGTCAGGTGCAATGTGTCCAGTGTTGCTCATTGCACATTGTTCTTCCTCTGCACTACATTCTAATTGGACTGTAATTATATTTTGGCTCAATCTCCTAAATTCAAGGGGAAGTTAAGGCTAAAATCAAAATTTCACCAGTTGTAGTCTTCGGGGTGCTGAGTCGAATGGTCTTGGTCCGAGAGAGCTGAGACGCTCCCTTCCTACTTGAATCCCAATCGAACTCGCGCACTTCCACCGAAACTGGGTGACTGCACCCTGCTAGATGGGGATTTGTATGCAAAATGTCACTTAAAGCGCCATTTCGTTCTTATAAAAGCAAGGATGACCGCGATTGGCCTAGGCCTCGACCAAATATGCTAAAAAAAAGAGCATATTATGCTCGTCGCATATCAGGAAAAACGTCCATAATATACCAAAGGCTTAGCAAGATATGCCAAAAGATATGCCAAAATATCCCAAAAAATGCTCGACATAAGCAGAAAGTGTAGATCATTTCAGTAAAATTACAATCTTGGAATATTCATTAGCTTCACGGCTATCATGCTTATGGTGCAAATCAAAACACATGCAGAATAGTATGGCTGTGGTGTGTCCCCAGCAACCGTAGCGATAGTGTTCATCCATGGGGAAATGTAGCAAACGCCTCAACCATTCCAAATCCATCCATAAAAGGCATTTCTGAACGCATTTTGTCCATAATATGAATGTTTTGTCCTCATTTTCTTCAGAATATTTGAATTATATGCTGGCTTCATTCCAATATTCCCTTTGTCGCTCAATATGCCATATATGAACTGTCTCACAAAATATGCGGAAATATGCGCAAGCATATTTGGTCGAGGCCTAGATTGGCCCATACATGTATGTTGTAGTCTTTTGGACGCTGAGTCGACTGGTTTTGGTCCGAAAAGGCTGCGATGCAGCGTTCCTCCTTTATTCCCAATCGAACATGGTTGAACAAGCGGTCACGTGCTCCTGTGTACACCAGTCACCTGGTCACCGTGCCTGTGTCGTGTCCGTGTGTTTCTATCTGTATTGTATTCCGTCTGCTCCTACATGTATCTTTGTCAAGTGTTTGCCGTGGCGTCGATGTGTCTCGTCTATGAATAGCGTTGGGAAACCTATCACTATTCATGCTTTGCTGGCTTGCTGCTCGCTCGCTTCGCTCCTTCAGCTTGCACGCTACTACTAGTACAGTCATAATTATAGCAGTATATACATGTAGGTCGATGCTTTGCGTCGATTGGTTGTTCTTGTTGCTTCTCGTTTGCTTGGAACTTGGTCCTAGAGTGTAGCTTTGGTCTTCTTCTGTGGTGAGGGTGAGGAATGGGTATCTGGACTCCTGGTATATTTCCGTAAAGAACCTGGAATTGTAGAATCCTGATAGTATGTCTGGCCCACTTCCCGGTCATGACACCTGCAGGGTACAACTTACTAGCCTGTTTGACCTTTTTTGGGTGCAGTCCTGTCACTCGAGTTGAACTCGAGTTGAACCTTGGTGTGAAAGTAACTTGTCGCCTGCTGGCGTGGTGACCAGGTGATTTGGGCACTGAGGAGCACATGACCGCTTGTTCACCCATGTTCGATTGGGAATAAAGGAGGAACGCTGCACCGCAGTCTTTTCGGACCAAAACCAGTCGACTCAGCGTCCAAAAGACTACAACATATGGGCCAATCGCAGTCATCCGTGCTTTTATAAGAACGAAATGGCGCTTTTAGTGACATTTTGCATACAAATCCCCATCTAGTAGGGCGCAGTCACCCAGTTTCGGTGGAAGTTCGCGAGTTAGATTGGGATTCAAGTAGGAAGGGAGCGTCTCAGCTTTCTCGGACCAAGACCAATCGACTCAGCACCCCGAAGACTACAACTGGTGAAATTTAGATTTTAGCCTTAACTTCCCCTTTTTTGTATTGTATTTTATTATTTTACTTGGGCATTCCCAACAGACCCTAAGGTCTTCTTACAGGGTGCCCAAGATGAATGAAATTGTTAAGTTCCTGGCGAAATGAATTGGGGATATGATTTGTGCGAAGGGATTCGGGAAGCGCATTAAAGCGGTCAGCACCAAGGAATGAAATAGATCTGTATCCAGCTTGCGCTTGCACAATGGGTAAGGAAAGGGAATAATTGACTTGGCCGCGGGTTACTCTATCTGTGTGAGCGCAGTCACGGCGAAGGGAGAACATGCCAGAGAGGATCGAGTGAACTGCAGATATTGTGGATGCAACGGACCACGAAGAATATGGACTTAGTATGATATCTTTTGTCTAAGCTACCCTTTAAGAGGACATATGCATGATTGTATTCGTTCCGAACAACGTTAGAAGTCAAAACTTCTGACGACTGCTGGCCCGAAACGTCATAATTTTTTCAACATCACAATAAAAGAATTTTCAATGCAGCGTATGCGCAGATTGTGAAAAGCAATTATTCATTAATTTTATTCAACTCAATCTCATAGCATGTGTATGCAACGCTAGTATGCTGAGCAATCCCAGAGATGAGGGCAATACCCAGCCATGGCAAAAGTCCAACAACAAAAAAAACAAGAAAAAGTGGAATGAAAGGAAAATGGAGGAAAGCTACCCAGTCTACGCTCCGCCAATAAGTGAGATAATCGATCATTACAAGTGAATAGAGAGAGCAGCTGTTTGTTGACAAAACCCCTTTAAAATATGGCTTTGAAATCCTAGTAAACAAAAGGCAATTAATTCACAACCGATCTGGTGAAAAACTCGGATGCTGAGCCAATAGGAATATAGTTAAAACTAGCCTGCGGATATGTTGGAGCTGTTGGGGGCTTGGAGCTAGGTGTCAGCTAGGTGTCAGGTCGTCGAATATCTCAATATCCATGTCAGTTTTGTGCCTCGTTGTCGCACTATCTGACTGTACATTATCTCGTTACCTTGTTGGACTGTTTGTCATAACTAGTAACTTATACATGTACAATGTAGGTTCCTTTCTCTTGGTGGCAGACTACCCAAAAATTCGCTGAAAAATCGAATTTGTAAATTCATACTGAGTGCTACGTCAGTTGAAAGACCATGAATAGCTGCAAATTCTCTGAAAATTGTGTCCCGATCTGACCGGCCGTTCAAGAGTTATGGCCGAAAATGTGCCCTTGCAAGGAAAGATTTTTTTGTTGCACGCTGTCATTTGTTGGCAGCACTGTATTTGAATGTGAGCAGACCGTGCGCAACTTGTCGTATCATGGAAACACGTGAAAGTGTGCAGAATTTTGCTCCAAGTCCAAAAAATCAGGTTTTTGAGCCACGTATTGGGCTGCACGGAGGCGGGCGAAGCCCGCCGCCGTGCAGCAGGACTTTTGCCAGCACCCTCGTGACGTTGCAGATATGTGGCTTGATTATTGTAGTTGACGTTGATTTAGTGACTTTGGCAAGTTTGAGTCGTGTCAAGAAGTCAGGTAGGATTCAGTACTAGGCAGTAGTGAAACGTGAGTGGTAGTCTTTGCCGGTTTCTGAGGGTATCCTGGATTTGGTGTGCAGCGCTGTGGAAATGGCTTGCTGTGGAGGTCCCAGCACTGGATGTTGTATCAAAGGTACGACCTCGTAGCACGTGCTAAACCTAAAAAAATTCAAAAATTGACTTGGGTCTGTGGGAGTGTGTGAGAGAACGCCCACTCGTTCCGTTGTGACAGATTCCAGGGCCTCGTTGAGGGGCCCTACCCCATCACCCATGGCTGCTTCTGGACTTGTTCTAGGTTTGAGTCCCGCGCACGAACAGAATGAGCACGAACATGTGAAAAAATTGTAAATGCACTTGTTTGGCTCCTGGGTGGCTCGCACACCGTGGCACTATGCCGGAAATTTGAGTTTTTCCGGCCTGGAAAGCCTGTCAGTGAGACTCAAGAACTTGTAAATCATGTCCTGAGGGCCAGCATAGTGGCAGGAGTGTGTGGTCAAAATTGCACTCAAATCCATTGAGAAACACCAAAGTTACGGTCAATTGAATGCCATATGAAATTTATGGGTAGGCTGCCCCCTTAAGATAATTATGGTGAAAAATTGGCAAAATCAAGTTCCTCTTAGTTAATGTACACAGAATGGAGCGGGCATGGGAGAAGAGTATGTCACAAACACAGCATAACGAATGGGAGAAAAGAAATAAGAGCTTATCAACAAATAACCTGAGTGTGATTACATTCGGAAAGAATGGATTCAATCAATCAAACAATGTCACTTCTTTCCTGTTAGCTGCAGGCCCAACAACAACAGTGGTGACAACACCCACTACTACACCAACTACTACACCAACTACCACACCAACTACTACACCGACTACAACACCGACTACAACACCAACTACCACACCAACTACAACACCAACTACCACACCAACTACTACGCCAACCACAATAGCAACCACTGCACCACAGATCATAGGGACTACCAAATCAATCACCCTGCCGAGAATTAAGGATACTGCCACACTAGCAACGACTTTGTCAGCAATGATCCATCCTAGGACACCGCTAGTGGCATCTGTGTCTTCGTCGTCATTGCCGGACCCAGCATCAACTGGTGAGGAACTGAGAGACCGCAGCTCATTTATCACTAACCCTGAGAACATTGTGCTAGCATAGCTTTTGGAATGATTTCATGGCTTTCAGTGGAAATCATTCTCTTGGGCTCTTTAACTATTTTAATGTTGTGCATCAGACATCAGCACATCTGCAAGTAGTTCAAGCAGTCCAAGCCAGTCTACCCTCGCTGTAGCAGTACCAACAGTGGCAGCATGTTGTGTTCTCGCCATCATCATCATCACTTTGGCCTTTGTAGGATGGCGACGAAAGAAAAGGTAAGAGCTAAAGTTCAGGAGCGCGTAAGTACGAAACATGCACAATTTAGCAGAGCTCCAAGTACAATTTCAATTTTTATTCTGTGATCGCAATAGCTTCACCGTATGGTATTCCGAATTCAGATTGATACATCTTTGCTTAATTTTACTCTAACGATGCAAGTACTTCGAAGTAGTTTCCAGCTATATCAGCAATTATTTCCCTGGCCAGCCCGTCAGGAGTGAATTTTCAACTCGCACACACTTTGAATAGTGGTATGTTGACATGCGTAGTGCATACATAGCATGGTGTTAATGTCATCTGTTGTTCACCTATACATCTATGTAGAATGAATGTACCCATCACCGGCAATGGTCCTTCACGTGCACTGGAACAGTATCAAAATCAGTGTGAAAATGCAGGTAAGCCAGGTCTCTTTCCACTGCCAATACTTTTCAATCTTCAACAAGTAAAGTCATAGGTTGGTATCGGTGAAATTGCCTTTCGCCTCGTGCTCTGCAGTTTATTCTGGTTTGGACAGGTTTTGAAAAGCTGAAATTGCTTACTATGAGGAATCATCAGAGTATGATGTCTTCTAGTATTAAAATCACACGCAGCATGCAGGCATAGAAGGTGACAGAATGATGACCTGATTTCCACGCTATACTATGAAGTTTCAAATCGTAGGTACAAGGTGAAATAGAACGTCAGGGGAACTATTGTAAAGGTTGGTCCAACTACATGTATCCTTATCCTGGTTATCCATGGCTGGTGAAGAAGGAGAGAATTTCTCAGGAAGTAGACCATACGTGTGAGGTTCAGACTAAGTAATGCATTCATGGCTAAAATGGAGGTTGCGAATTTTGTCAATAAATGCGAATAATGCTTCCGCCCTTAAGAAATGGCAAGGGTCTAGGGTATGGGAGAAAGAGATGTTGCGTCTACTGGCAACCATCAACACAATAACACAGACTATGAATGCCACTGAACTGGCATATCCTTCACAGTCGAGTAACACAGATACATGTACCTCGGTCAGTGTCAGTGATTAAAAGATCATTTGTGTCAGTACGATAGGCTAATTCCTTGTCAGTTAGATAAATTTTTGCCACAAGAAGCCAAGAGAGAACCGATAAATTTATCGCGCCCATATATTGGTTCACATATTCAAATTGTGTCACAAATAAATACAATGAATAAACACAACAAACCTTACATGTACATCTTCCGTTCGGATCAGTTTTTACTTTTCTCTTTTCGGTCGTCCCCCTAGACATTTGTACTATGTGCTGTTGATGCAACCAACTGAAATAATAATGTTTTGTATTCCTTCTCACTGCTTCTCAACCTTGCAGTTCTCGGCTGTCAGCCAAGTCTGGATGTATATGAACCCATGGACACGGTGACGGGGAATACTTATACAACCTTTCCGACGGAGAGTATCGCTCTACCAATTGCTGGGAATACTGGAATTGATCACAACTCTACAGAAGAGACGGCAACCACCACAACGCTGGGTTTTGCGGACAGCAACTGGCATGGGAAATTTGGCAATGTTGGAGGAAATCTGCTTCTAGAGGATGTTCCAGCATGTGGTAGACCTGCTACGGCTAGGAGAGATGTTTCTACCATGATCACCAGCAAGTGTGCAGAGCAAGAAGACAATCAACATACCTATATCACAATGACTGATTGTACAAGTAAGGGCGGTGATACCCTAGGAGCACCTAGTGACGACACTGACGTCTACTATTGTGCAACGGATGAGTTCACAGATGGTGAGCAAGCTTTCACGGGGGAGTACATCAACGCTGCGTCAATTCTCACCAATAACTGTCCTCCCCATACGAAACGCCTGGTACCCACTACAGCTGTTTATGTCAACAGCAATACCTGTAATGAAACACGGTTTAAACCAGCCAGTCCGGACAATGGACTTCCAGGCAGTAGACATCCCGACCAAGGAAATCTTAATTGTGTGGCCGTAGATCTCCTTCCACCTCCACCAGAAGATGATATTTACCAAGACATGCAGCCTTCCAACAACGACGAAGTGTACGTTTAAAGGCAACACTTCCCAGCGTATGTGCCATGGTTAATGCCATGCATTGCGCAACCGAATCCATCGACACAGCCGCGCACGGAAGAAGCAGCAATGCCAAAAGACACCACATCTAAAAAAATTGCCGGCCAGCACCACAGCGCTCTGAAAAGCGTACTGTAAAGAAGCAAGTCCGAGTGATGGAGACACCCAAGACAGAAGAACCACCTCGAACTTCGGTTGAGCAGTAGATAGAAGAAAACGTTTCTTGTAGCGGCTGTCTCCAGAACTTGCTAAAATCTTACATGCTCCTTATGTTTACACGACTTCCTGAGTGCTTGGCTTTGTTCACTACACTTTCTCGTTTCGTTCGTTTCGGCGCTTTCCTTCCCCTCATTGGACCTTTCCTAACCTGAGCCTTCCAAGTTGGAAGGTTGTTGATTTGCGCCTCGTGGATTTGTTGGAGCTAGGTGTCAGGTCGCTGAATGTCTCAATACTCCCTGTCAGTGTTGTACCTTGTTGTCGTACTCACTGACGGTATAAGACCTGGTTACTTTGGTGGACAGTTAGTCATAACTCGCAACAGTCACTCATCCTATTCATAGCTATATTCAAATTATCTCCTCGCAGATTGTTCGTAACACTGTGTCCTTTTTATTCATGATTACATTGCCTCACCATCTGAGTTCGAGTTTTGTTCTTTCTCTGAATTTGCTTGGTGTTCTTGCTCATTGTCATTGTGATGTTTTGTGCTTTTTCCTTGGGTTCACTGATACCATTACTGCCTTTTTGTTTTTTTTGTTTTTTTTGTTTTGTGCTTGATTCCCACATTTATAACCCATATTACCCTGTATATACCGGTACTCACACCATCATGCAGTGTAGATGCAGAACCATCCGACAAAGTGTGAACTGACTTACTATGTATGTACAGTTCAAAGTACATTGTACACCGAATTCTGCTTCAGCTTTGTATTGTATTGCAGAAGGTAAGCAGCAGCGTTAGGTATTTGAAAATTCACAGTAGGTACATTAACTCTCCACGTTAACTCTCCACGTTAACTCTCCACGTTAACTCTCCACGTTAACTCTCCACGTTAACTCTCCACGTTAGTTGACCACCGCTGCGCTATGCGGCCGACCACGCACGGTTCACACAACAGCAAGAGGTTCCTTCTGAACACCGAATCTCTTCTGACGGATGTTTCCGTCATTGACATCCCATCAGAGAAGATTGAATTGTTGAATAAATCGTGCCACGTTTCCGAAATACTCCTAGCTAGCTAAATCAAAATGGTCAGATAATTTGGCAGGAAGCGTGCGCTCCGCGCAGGAGCAACCAACTTGGTCCAGTACCGCTGGAGTCGCTATTTCTAAGACCTTGGACATAGGTCTAGTGGGTTTTTTAAAACTTTTCTACTGCCTGCATCTACTGCATCAGTGGATATCTCCAATTGAGAAACGCCTGCAGTGTTGGCGGGTGAAGCAGGGTCGGAAGAGGACGGGGTTGCATTACGCTTTTCTGGTATGCAGAAAAGGGGTGATGGTATTTGCACGACTGTGCACATTTCACTGGTGGGTGCATTGGTCGATTATGAGATATGCCCACAGTGTGCCGCGACGTACTTCTCTAGCCTGTGTAGAGCTGCAGTGGTGAGCCATTGTTGTGATATTGTTGCGTTGGGAACACGCCACCAGAGCCTCGTAGGTATATCCACGCTGGAAAGGATAAAAAATATAAACAATAGGAGCATCGTACGTCTAGCCCCAATGTGCAGCGTGTCAATACTATAAGGACAGTGAAAGCACATGATGCTATTAAGGTTGTAGCTGTGTACATGTGAATGCAGTGCCTATCTACTCTAACTGTGTACATGTGAATGCAGCGCCTATCTACTCTTCAAGCAGCCGTCACATGCATGTAGTAATACTTACAAAGTGCATTGGTTGGAGGAAGCTTGAGGGCGGGTAGCTGATATGACGCCAGCTTTTGCAATCTGTCGGTGATGCATACAAAGAAGACTAGAAGCGGATTCTATCTGCAGTAAAAGAGGGAAAGAGGAATGCATGATGTACTTCTAGGTTTGCTAGCGTGTATTCATGTCTTTGCTAGTTGCATGTCTGTGGTCCCACGCATCCTCGGTCTGGCCATGAAGTGCTGGCTTCCCAGATCCGTGGTGCAAGATAAAGAGCTGGCTTCCCAGATCCGTGGTGCAAGATGAAGAGTGAATCCTAAACACCATTCTATCGGCAGTATTGTCCCACGCATCCGCGGTCTGTGGCGACGAAGAGTTGATTTCTCGGGCCCCCAGTGCAAGACTTCAGCCCGAAAATTGAGCTCGGAAGATTGAATCCGAAACACCACTCGATCAGTTTGTCTAGCGCAATATTATTAGATCTAACAATAGATCAAACACTCGCATAGATCTGGATATTATTTCGCTATTATCTGGATAGATGTAATTATAAACTAGCGGAGGTTACATGGTCGAGGAGACATTTGACCTGTTTCTGGAAAGAAGTGGTTCTGCAGCAGACAACAATGCAGGTGTACACATATGGTGTGTTGGTGACCATACTTGTTGTGGCAGTTCTACTACATCAAGTACAGACTAGCCATGGTACTGATACAGGTAAGCATGGGTATTGTTTGAATTTCACATGTACTACTGTTGGTGTTTCTGAAAAGGATTTCTCTCTCTGTGTCTTTCAAAGCAATGAAACCTGGGCCGTCAAGACCGTTCTCTCTCTCTCTCTCTCTCTCTCTCTCTCTCTCTCTCTCTCTCTCTCTCTCTCTCTCTCTCTCTCTCTCTCTCTCTCTCTCTCTCTCTCTCTCTCGTTCGTTCTCTCTCTCTCTCTCCCTCTCTCTCTCTCTCTCTCTCTCTCTCTCTCTCTCTCTTTCTTTCGTTCTCTCTCTCTCTCTCTCTCTCTCTCTTTCTTTCGTTCTCTCTCTCTCTCTCTCTCTCTCTCTTTCTTTCGTTCTCTCTCTCTCTCTCCTCTCTCTCTCTCTCTCTCTCTCTCTCTCTCTCTCTCTCTTTCTCTCTCTCTCTCTCTCTCTCTCTCTCTCTCTCTCTCTCTCTCTCTCTCTCTCTCTCTCTCTCTCTCTCTCTCTCTCTCTCTCTCTCTCTCTCTCTCTCTCTCTCTCTCTCTCTCTCTCTCTCTCTCTCTCTCTCTCTCTCTCTCTCTCTCTCTCTCTCTCTCTTCTCTCTCTCTACCTCATTATGATAAATAAATGATTGGTGCATGCTACGAGGTTAATCACAAACAGTATTTCGAAGTAAGTGGAGTCTACGAGGCATCGAAGTAAAGCAGTACAAAGTTATTGGAATATGTCACTTCCCATGGACGTGTAGCCTACTCAGAAGCTAAGTGTTGAAGTAAAACAGCACAAACCTAAAGCAGCGGTATGTGATTTCCCTGGGCACTAGAAGTGTACTCTGAAACTGCGAATGGACTGCAGAAACCCCGCCACATATTTCAACAAAACTCCTACATTGCAGTATGTGTCAACACTTCGCACGAGTATACGAGTGGAGCTAAGAGGAGGTGAAATTGCGGTGAAATTAGTCACGATTACTTTCTCGGCATCGCCTGCCAAGAAAGAGAAACGATGCAAAGAAAGCGACCATTCACAAGAAATCTAGCGGAATCAATGGTTATGCTGTTGCAGCATAGGTGATGACAGCCATGACGAGCGGAACTGAAATGTCACTTCTCCGAGGACATAATGCGCTGCTTGGCCTCTCTAGCCGTCAGTTTACTTGAACGACGGTGCCATCACCAAAGTTCAGCGGAGTGCAATCAAAGAAGCGGAGAAAGGCTGAAAGAGCTGACAAAACGACCCGAGAGAGATGACGACGACTCGAGTGCAGAATTTTTTTTCTTCTCTTTTTTCCCTGTACTGGGGTACCGGGTGTGTGTATGCATGCTTGACGAAGTTGAGGAAAAATCGGCTGAAAGTCGGGAGGTTTGTTATTCATTTTGTGCGGGAGATCGGGAGATGACTGATTAATGATTATGTCAAAAACAAACAAAAAATCGGGAGATCTTCCGACTGATCGGGGAAATTTGTCACCTCTGATTCTCTGAAGACCTTGCTGAGAATTGAAAAAAATGAATGACCATCTACAATAATATTGCTCTCTACGGCATAGTACCGTCGGTCAGTGTCGTGCAATGTTATCGCATCAGCTGATTGTTTAGTAACTGGTGGTGTTAGTGGACATTATAGCGTAACTTGTAGTTCCTTGGTCCTTTTTTAATTTTTTAGGAATTAGTCCTTGGCTCTCCATCCGAGTCCATTCTTGCACACCTGATGAGCCGTCCTTATCTATACCGTACACGGCGAAAGGATCGTCGTGTGAAATTGCTGCGTGTTACCGATAGCGCTGCTTATTGTCCATCTAAATTGTCATCGTCGAAGTACAGTGCTGTTTTACTGAGGCCTTCGGTTATGCATGATTCTTGTTCGCATAGCTTCCCCTTTTTTTGATCTTCGCATCTTTTGAGCCACGCATGTTGTGTGGAATGTTGCTGTGCGTCGTTGAATCGTGGTTTGACCGTATTGTCCAATGGTCTCGCCAGTATCGTCATCGACATGCATGAACATCCGCTAACGTCCTTCACAGCTGAGACTTTCAGCTCGTGCTTATCTTGGTTGCGCTCACCTTCCCCTCCTTATGTTATTTTTATAACTTGGAACCTTCCAAGTTGAAAGGCTGTTGGAGTGCGCATCCAAGATGTGCTACAGCTGTTAGTGTTAGCCAGTTAGTTGTAGAACGTCAGTACCGTCGGTCAGTGTCGTGCAATGATATCGCATGAGCTGATTGTTTAGTAACTGGTGGTGTTAGTGGACATTATAGCATAACTTGTAGTTCCTTGGTCCTTTTTATTTTTATAAATTAATCTTCGGCTCTCCGTCCGAGTCCAGTCTGCAGCATTGTGTACAATAATATTGATATGTACTTTCGTTCTCAGTTGTGATTATCGGATTCATGTTTAAAGTACAAGTATTAGAAATGAAAACTTATTCCATCACAGCAAGGTATAGATTATAGTAAAAGTGAGACGGTATTGAAGAAATGGGCCAAGGTAAATTAACAGACGCTACTGGGAAGTGAACCAGGAGACTCTTGTGGCCAGCTATACTTTAGCTCCATTGTATAACGATTTTAAAAACTTTTTAATCTGCAACCAGGATACGCCGCTGGTGCGATGGTAGTACTTCAAGTACATGTAGATGTTTATTAATATTATGTTTATTTGAAGGGTTGTGACACTTGTCTTTTCAGTGTCTTGGTTCTGAATCTGGACGCGTACATACTTGCTCTGGCCTGCTAGCAGTCACTCCATTGAGTCAATTTCCCTTTCATTTTTCTCTGCCTACCCATCATTGCCGTTCAGGTTGGATGACGTGTCCTTCTGGTCCACATGGAATAGAGTATACATATTATGTTGATGTTGCAAAGACGTTTAATGAGTCAGTGAATTATTGCAAGAGTATGGGAAATGACAGCAAGCTAGCTACTCCACGCAATGCCATGGAGAATCAATGTATTAACCAGACTAAACCAAGTAATACAACTACCTGGATTGGAATTCGGTCACTCCAGCCTTATCCCTATCTCACCTGGATCACTGAAGATGATGGACGTCCTATCAACTTTTCACATTGGACTGTTGGAGAGCCTAACTCTAATGAGTATGTCCAACAACTGTGCGTAACAATGTGGTTTAAACCAAGCCACAATACATATGGGTCTCGATGGGATGACAGAGAATGCAGCCATCCACTTGAATTTGTTTGCCAAAGACAACGTGAGTAGCGTTTTAAAATAATAATGGACAATGAAGAGGACCATGTGCCTGTGAAGAGGACCATGTGCCTGTGAAGAGGACCATGTGCCTGTGAAGAGGACCATGTGCCTGTGAAGAGGACCATGTGCCTGTGAAGAGGACCATGTTCCTGTGTTCATTTTAAGGTTCAATTCGTGCAGCGTAGCTCATTGTGCACACCCCATTGTTCTTTCTTTTCTCTAATTAATTTGGGCTCAATATCCGAATGTAAACACGACCAGTAATTCACATGGAAATCAATTATAACTCAGATGGTGAGGCAAGGAAATATGCGTGCCTCACTGCTTTCCATGTGTTCAGATTCATCATAAATTTGAGGGATTCGGTTGAAAACGGAAAAGGTCCGAAGGAAAATGTAATTTCCCGTTTCCCTCAAACCAATGAAAATGTAATAATTAATGAATCAATTCATCAATATAATTATTAGGAATTAATGAAACCCAGAATCGATTTTCTCGTTCCTATCATCAGTGGGAAAAATACGGAACTAAAGGATGCAACCAAAGAAACTGAAGTTAAGTACTGTATAGAAAGGTGTTAGAAATAACATCACGATACAAGTGCTATAAACCCACTAGAGGAAACGCAAAAAGGTAACAAGATTACGTAACCAAAGGTGAGAAGGCACTGAACGTAGTGTCAACCTACGACTATAACCTCCTTGCAACAACGTGCTCTTTCTGCTTACACAAAACAGGCTTATGAATCCGTATACAAACTGCCTCAAGGACTTTCATCTGTTGGACATACCGCGCACGACACAGTACAGAAAAATGAGAGTCATCATACACACCAAGACAGTCAGGACGAGATAACAAGTGTAGATACACAGCCGAATTCTTACGATGAACACATTCATCCGCCTCATCTCGCTTTTTCCCATCCTCCTCCTCCTCGTCCATCTCATTGTCCTCTTCCTCGTTCCGCTCATCATCCTCACGATCACCATCACTACCATCATCTGCCTCGTCCTCTGTCTCTTCACCAACCGTTCCGTCATCCAATTCCTCTTCCATCCTCTGATCATCCGTACATAATTATACAATCAGATAGTGCGACAAGAAGGCACAAAACTGACAAGGATAGTGAGACATTCGACGACCTGACACCTAGCTCCAACACATCTACGAAGCGCAAACCAACGAACGACCTTCCAACAATTACTTGAAAGGCTCAGCCGCTCAGGTGCGGAAAGTTCCCTTGTCAGTTTTTGGCCTTGTTGTCGCACTCTCTGACTGTATATTATCTTGTAACCTTGGTGGACTGTTAGTCATAACTAGTAACTTATAGGTCCTTTTCTCTTGACATATTAATACTACTTCAAGTATTTGCTCAACATCCGAGTTTCAATTAATCAATGTCACTTCTTTCCTGTTTGCTACAGTACCAACAACAACGGTGATGACTACAACACCCACTACTACACCAACTACCACACCAACTACTACACCAACTACTACACCAACTACTACACCGACTACCACACCAACTACTACACCGACTACCACACCAACTACCACACCGACTACTGCACCCACTACTACACCAACTAACACACCAACTACCACACCAACTACTACACCAACTACCACACCAACAACTATGTCGACTACTACACCGACTACTACTCCTACTGCAATACCAACAACCAATGTACCAGGGACCATAGTGACTGCCACGCCGAGAACTAAGCCTAGTACTACCACAGTAATGCCATTGACATTATCAGCAATAATCCTCACTAGTACTAGGACACCGCTAGTGGCATCCGTGTCTTCATCATCACTGCCCTACCCAGCATCAACTGGTGAGGAACTGAGAGACAGCAGCTCATGTATCACTAAGACCTAAAGGATCTCGCTAGCATACATGTATATTATTATAGTTTCGGACTGATCTCATCTTAGTGTCTTGTATTTTATGTTGTGCTTCAGGCATTAGCACATCTGCAAGCACTTCAAGCAGTCCAAGCCAGTTTATCCTCGTTGTAGCAATATCGTCAGTAGTAGTATGTTGTGTTTTCGTTAACATTGTCACTTTGGCTGTTGTTGGCCGGCGACGAAAGAAAAGGTGAGGATGCCATATTCAAGAGTAACCGGATGTGCTGCAAAACATCTGTACGTCGAAGTTCGTAAAACTGCATTTCAGAAGTGGAAAAGTGTGAACTACATTTTCGCTGAATCGTACATACAATTGCACTATTTCAGTGGTCGTAGTAGCTATCCATGGGTCCATGGGTTTCACTGGCTGTAACTGAAGAGCTAGTTGCTTGATTTCGCTTGAAGAGAATGCCCGAAAACTGGTCTGTGAAATTTCTGAGTCCTGATTGATGGTGGTGGTGAGGGGATCAGATGTTGTAGTTTATCTTTCCTTGATAAGCTTCCCATCTCCGAGAAAGTTATTCACAGGCGGCATGCATGCATATTAGCATGGTGCCTATTATTTTCATCTGTCGTTCGCATATCCAGATTGGCTGTAACTACCACCGACGACGGTCACTCAGGTACACTACAACAATGTCAAAGTCAGCGTCACGAAAATGCAGGTAAGCCAGGTCTAGGCATTGGCGGATAATGCTCGAAAAGGTGGCAGATTCTGCTCGAAAAGCAGTGAAATTGGCAGAACTATACAAACCTTATGGCGGGCAATTCCTCGAATTCTGCTCCATTTCTTTATCCACATACCAAACATGCATGAAACTTCCGAGAAAAAGTACCGAATTCTGCCAATTTTTCTGCCGGCATTATCCGCATATGCCTAGCCAGGTCTCCCTCCGCCATCTTCAACAAGTTGGTTCATCTAAGTTTGCTTGTAATGGATGAAATTGTCTTTCGTGCACCTACGAGTACTGTGGTTTTTCAAGGTTTGGGCAGGTTTCGAAAATCTGAAATGGCTTGTTATGAACAATGTTGATGTCTTCTAATATTGCAATCAAACATAGTGAAGAATGATTCATAATGTAGAAATTTGCTCTAAATTCTAGACTAGAACTCCAAGGGTGGAGGGGCTATTTTGAAGGTCCATGCAGCTATCATTACTTTATCCATAGTCGGTGAATGGAGTGAAACTTTTGCAGCGAGACCAAGAGGCCATACATAATGATTATGTGAGTGCCCACACTGCCCAGACTGCCCACACTGAGTAATGTATAGCTAGCTGCAATGGAGTTTGCGTATATCCTAGAAGTAACGCGGGTGCATGGTGTGGGAGTTTGAGATTATTATGTGGAGCTCACTGAAGCCATCTACGATAGACACACGGAATGGAATGAGAGTAAACACCACTGAAATAGCAGAGATAACCCGAAACCCCTTTGCTATCATATATACGTGTACGTTCTTACAAGCAGTGCCCTGAGCCGGTTATCTGAAAATCAGTGGTGTCAGTTCATTTGCTTTCCTATCCCCTTAATTGTCAGTACGATAAAGTTGTGCTATACAAATCCAAAGCAGAACCAATATTTGCAATGTGCCATATCTATTGGTTTTACAATTTCCAGTATTTCTCATAAATTAATCCAATATGCTTGCTAGGAAACACAGCTAGCATGGGAACGGTTTGCTGTCTGGACTGTTTGCTGTCTGGACGGTTTGCTGTCTGGGCTGTTTGCTGTCTGGACTGTTTGCTGTCTGGACTGTTTGCTGTCTGGACTGTTTGCTGTCTGGATGGTTTGCTGTCTGGACTGTTTGCTGTCTGGACTGTTTGCTGTCTGGGCTGTTTGCTGTCTGGACTGTTTGCTGTCTGGACTGTTTGCTGCCTGGACTGTTTGCTGTCTGGACTGTTTGCTGCCTGGACTGTTTGCTGTCTGGACTGTTTGCTGTCTGGACTGTTTGCTGTCTGGACTGTTTGCTGTCTGGACTGTTTGCTGTCTGGACTGTTTGCTGTCTGGACTGTTTGCTGTCTGGACTGTTTGCTGTCTGGACTGTTTGCTGTCTGGACTGTTTGCTGTGTACAGTGTAGTTGCAGATCAGTCAGTGAAAGCAACTGTACATTCTACCTTGTTGTTGTTGTTGAAATTTTATTTTGTATCGCAGACCACACGGGCAATGGTGCCCAATATTATGATGGCGATAAAGTAACGGCCAAAAGCCAAGGATACAACAAGCAAGCCTCCATTGTATTACCCATGCAGTTCGTTCTTGCCACATTTGAGGGTGGAACGTCAGGGCACAACAATTTAGAAATTTCTGTTGGGTTGTAGAAATTTAGTACCGCAGCAAAAGCAAGCAGAAGGAGATGAAAGCCCCAGATTTACAAATTTAGAAAACGTGACCTACAAACTTTGGTTTGAGACTCACCTTTTTACATTTGTAAATTTATTCCCACGAAATCTGGTTTTCAAAGCCAGTGGGACTTGTCTATCAGAATGGACTACATGTAGTGAATTTTAGTGTTTTTTGTGTCCTTTGCCGCTGCTATCTGCACTCGTTTACTTTTCTTGAAGCCCCCAGTGATTATCCAAGTCTGGAGCTATATGAACCCATGGACCGAGTGACAAGAAATGCGTACACAACCATTCCGACGGTGTTTACCTCACTACCGATTGCTGGGAATATTGGAATGGACCAAGATTCTACAGAAGAGGCGGCAACCACCACAGTACTGGGTTTTGGGGACAGCATGTCGCATGGGAAATCAGGCAATGTCGGAGGAAATCTGCTTCTAGAGGATGTGCCAGCATGTGGTAGAGCTGCTACTGCCCATAGAGATACATGTAGTTCCACCATGACCTCCAGCAATTGTGCAGAGCAAGACGATGATGAAGACTCCTACGCTGCAATGACCGACGGCGCAAGGGCTGGTGATGGTGCACTGGGCGCATCTAACGGCGACACTGGCGTATGCTATTGCGCAAGGGGTGAGTTTACAGCCTGTGGTGAACAAGCGTTCGGCGGGGAGTACATCAACGCTGCGTCAATTCTCGCCAATAACTGCGCTTCCCATACGAAACCCCTAGTGCCCACTACAGCTCTCGATGCCAATAGCAGTACTTGTAATGGATCACGGGGAAATTGTGATGGTTTGGCCGTAGCTCTCCATCCGCCTCTACAGGAAGATGATATCTACCAAGACATGCAGTGTTCCAACAACGACGAAGTGTACATCAATCAACACCTCCCAGTAAAAGTGCCATGATTAATACCATGAAGCTCATACAAGCAACCATCAAATGCAGCCATGTACGAAAACCACAATGCCAATAGATACCACATCTGACCTTATGTTCTCCTTATGTTCGCATCATCCCATCCGGAGCTGTAGCTTTGTTCATGACACTGTCTCGTTTTGTTCTTTCTCTGAATTTTCTTTTAGTGTTCTTGCTCATTTTCATGATGCTGTTTTGTGCTTTTCTTTGAAACATGGTTTCCGACTAACCAGCCACTCCGGACTGCGGACATCTAGACAGTATGCCTGTAGCTCTCACTTCACCTTCACCAGAATTTAGGTGATCTCTATCACAGCATTGAGTCTTTCAATGCCTTCGACGTGTACACTAATCAACACCTCCCAGTAACAGTTCCATGAATAATCATTAATGCCATGCAGCTCACAACCGAATCCATCCAAAAAATCCATGCACGCACACAGCAACGCCAGCAGATGTCATGTTCATTTTGACCATAATGTTCTCCTTTTGGTGGCATGGCATTCAGAATCAGAATGCTTGGCCATTGGTCCATCATGCTTTCCGTTTTCATTCCTTCTCTGGATTTGCCTTGGTGTTCTTACTCATACTATCATGGTCATAAAATAGACTCATATTGTTGTTTTCTTGTTTTGTGATTTTCCCTCGGGTCCCCTGATAGCATTTGTTTTTCTTTGAGTTTTGTTTGCATTTGAGTCCATACAAATATCCTGATTTCTGGATCAGCTTTTAAAAAGATGCTGTTCCAATAATCCCCCCCCCCCCCCCCCCCCTCCCAGGTTTCCCTCTTTTCATGTACATCAGCCTTGACTCACCATCTGAGTCACAAGAGTCTCAAATTGTTGCTTTCACACAAGTTCCAGCGCAGATACCACATTATCAGTCCACTGATCTCCATCACAGTAACAGTCTAACTCAGAGTTTCCTGTTATGGCGCACGCATTCGTCAGGAGACTGTGATCCACCAAACCAGGGTAGATCCACTTCCTGGTCTGTACATACATGTCATGATGATGTACATACATGTCATGATGATGTACATAACATTGTGAACAGAATGATGAACTACATGAAATTGTAGTACTGTATAATTATTATAGTCTGTAGATCTACATTGTTATTGTTAGCACTTCTACAGTTCTAGCTCGGCGTAAACCCGGTAAACCTACGCGGCTACAACAGTGCAAGGCGTTGGTTCAGTCTGTTCACCATGACAATCATGATTGAATCATGTAGTCCACAGTCATGTAAATCTACAGCCAGTGTACTGTGTCTGTGTAGCTCATATCGGTGCTTGATGTAAATCTACAGCCAGTGTACTGTGTCTGTGTAGCTCATATCGGTGCTTGATGTAGATCTACAGTCCATTATCATGATTATACGAAAGCAAAAGAAATAATTCCTCGAGCGCTGTCCAGTAGATTTACTAGTAAGTAGTAGTAGTGAAGCCGCTAGCCTCTAGATGGCTCGGAGTCGCTGTGGCTGCAGGAACCGTTGAAGCAGGTAGTCATACCCGAAATCCCTGCATTGGTGGAGGAAGTTTGAGGACGCGTAGTAGACGCCAGATTTCTCAGTCTGTCTCTTCGAAAAGTAAGACTACGAAGGAATTTTTTAATACATGTAGTTTTGGCAACAAAAGGAGCAGGATGACGGTACCGCGGTGTATTCCTGAACTGGAGTTGTCAGCTGTTCGACAAATGCGGTCGCATGCACCTGCGTCGGTGGACACGAAAAATTGACTTCCAAATGCCAGGCCGAGTAAGTACGTAGTTAGTTAGAATGACAATGCTTTTACGTTGTGTTGCATCCGCTTTTTAGTTTTAGAGTACACACACGTACACACGCGTGGGCGCGCACGCACATACACACGCGTGCGCACGCACGCACACACACACGCACACAGAAGAAAGAGGACTTAGTTGGCTATTGAACCGCTCAAAGGCCGACACCCCAAACTCTGGGTGGACTTGGAAATGATCCAGCTTATGGGCTCACCACACCTGAGACCTCAGTACTTCAGTAAGTGTGTGAGGACAATGTGCAGAAAAAGGATTGACGCATCAGGGTATCTGTCCCGGGATCCAACTGCATCCAACTGCCCCCAGTGAAGGTAATACTTGCTGCAGTAGTAATCTATGATTTATTCCCGTAGCTATGCTGAAGATGTTACTTCAGTAACGTCTGGCGCTAGCCAGGGTCCACATAGCTTTAATTTGGTGTTTGTTTGTGTGTTTGTGTGTTTGTGTCACGCCTGGCGCTATCCCGTATCTGTCCCGTACCGTACCGTACCATCAAACACAGCTGGCCACATACAGCTGGCCGCACTATTCAAATAGGGCTTTCAAACGCAAGATCATAACGTGAAGCAACTTGGAAGAATGAGTATGAATGCGAAGTGTTTGGGGGAATGCATGTAGGGCAATAGTGCGGGTTCGAATCCCAGGTAATGCCTGAAAAAATAGGAAAATTGAAAAATTTATAACATCCCTTATCACTCCCCCCTCACGTGACCGCGGACTCCTGCATATACACTCACACAATAACCACACAACTGTTTGGGGATAGCGCGCTTATTGTATTATGCCAAACTTGACACGCTGAGTCCAGCTTGACTCAGCTGAGTCCCTAACTGCAATTTACTGCTCTAACGTGAAGCCGTGCCTCCAAAAATAATGGGGGTGGCCTCGCCGCACGCTATCCCCTATTCTTGGTCCCGTCGATCTCTGTGCTGTTCGCTGTAGACCTGTGATGGCATGCCTGATTCGGTATACAGTGAAACCAGTAGCTAAAGACCACCGTGACCAGCGACCGGTCTGGTACTACCGACCACTTCGCCGGGCACGGACGGTCTCACATTCATAATGGTTGTGCGGTGCAAGCCTCCAGCCAAGGACCACCTGCCACTAAGGACCGCTTTCTCTGGCCCCAAGGGGTGGTCGTTAGCCACAGGCTCAACCGCACATGTATCTCTTGCGGGTCAACCCTGACCACCTTCCGGCGGCCTGGAGCTGCCGTCCGGGCACCTTCCTGGCCGCCAGATCCTGTGTCAGCTTGAGGGCGTCTACCAAGGGCATTGCCATGAAGGACTGCTAGGCTTTCCCCTGGTTGGTAGCTCCTGCTGGTGCTGAGCACTACTCCATACGCTGACGACTTGTCAGCTTCCGCGGGTAGTGTTCGCACGGGGGGATACCTGGGCGCCCCAAGCCGGGCAGACAACAGCCGAAGGGCTGTCGTGTTGGATACAAGTGTGACTAGCTACCCGCCTGGTACTATGGACACCTTCGCCGGGCACGGAAGGTCACACATTCATAGTTTGCGGTGCAAGCCTCCAACTAAGGACCACCTGCCCCTCAATACCGCTTTCTCTGGCCCCAAGGGGTGGCCGTTTAGTCACAGGCTCCACCGCATATGCATCTCTTGCGGGTCAACCCTGACCACCTTCCGGTGACCTGGAGCTGCCGTCCAGGCCCCTTCCTGGTGGCCAGATCCTGTGTCAGCTTGAGGGGGTCTACCAAGGGAATTGCCATGAAGGACTGCTAGGCTTTCCCCTGATTGGTAGGTCCTGCTGGTGCTGGGCACTCATGAATAAGCCGTCACAACTTTTCCGCTTCCACAGGTGGTGTTCGCACGAGGGGGATACCTGGGTGCCCCCCCCCGCAGAGCCGACAACAGAGCCAAAGGGTTGGCGCGTTGTATACAATTATTAGTTTCTCAGTTATTCTTGTATTTTGCCTCTTAGGTCGATGACGGCTTCCCGCCCGCCGATCGTCCAAAAAAAGTATGGGGTGAGGCCCCTATCCTGCAACAGGCAATAAATGTGGCAGTGGGAGTATGCGCTAGAGGCCAGTCAGGACCTGCTGGGTGCCCGAGCTACGGTGCTAACAAGCAAATGCGAACAAGCAAGCTCGAAAGGAGATCTTCGGTTGCACTCCCCATCTCAGTTGCAAACAAACCACGCTCCGAGGGAGAGCTGCCCCTGCATTTTTGCAAGCCTAGCTGTAAATATACAAAGCTCCAAGGGGAGCTGCCCCTGCATTTTGCAAACATAGCTGTAAACTCTTCCAAGGCTCCAAGGGGAGCTGCCCCTGCATTTTGCAAGCATAGCTATAAACATCCAAAGCTCAGGGGGGCTACCCCTGCGTTTTGCGAACCTAGCTGTAAACCAACAAAGCTCAAAGGGAAGCTGTCCCTGCATTTTGCGCACATAGTTGTAAGCATCCAAGGCTCCAAGGGGGGCTGACCCTGCATTTGCAAACATAGCTGTAAACATCCAAAGCTCCCAGGGGAGCTGCCCCTGCATTTTGCGACCACACCTGTAAACATCCAACTTCAAAAGCTCCCAGGGGAGCTGCCCCTGCAGTTTGCAAGCATAGCTGTAAACATCCAAAGCTCCCAAGGGGGAGCTACCCCTGCGTTTTGCAAACCTAGCAGTAAACCTACGAAGCTCAAAGGGGAGCTGCCCCTGCATTTTGCAAACATAGTTGTAAACGTAGAAGGCTCCAAGGGGAGCTGCCCCTGTATTTGCAAATATAGCTGTAAACATCCAAAGTTCCAAGGGGAGCTGCCCCTGCATTTGGCAAACCTAGCTGTAAACCTACAACGCTCTGAGGGGAGCTACCCCTGCATTTTGCAAACCTGGCTGTAAACATCCAAGCCCCAAGGGAAACTGCCCCTGCATTTAGCCACCATAGTGGTAAACATCCAAAGTTTCAAGGAGTGCTGCCCCTGCATTTTGTCCGCACAGCTGTAAACTAGTTAAAGCTCCAAGGGGAGCTGCCCCTGCATTTTGCAAACATAGCTGTAAACATCCAAAGCTCCAAGGGGAGCTGTCCCTGCATTTTGTCGCGTAGCTGTCAACTAGCTAAAGCTCCAAGGAGAGCTACCCCTGCATTTTGCAAACGTGGCCCGTAAACATGCCCAGCTCCAAGCCCTTTTTTTTGTTTTTTCCTCGCAAACATAGCTGTAAACATACCACACACTAAGGGGAGCTGCCCCTGCTTTCTGCAAGCATCGCTGTAAACGATTACATACAAGGCTCGGAGGGGAGTTGCCCCTGCTTTTTGCAAACATAACTGTACCAGGCCCCAAGGGGAGCTGCCCCTGAATCTTGCAAACATAGCTGTGAACATACAAAGCTCAAAGGGGAGCGGCCCCTGCGTTTTGCAAACATAGCCGCAGCGCCGGGCATAACGCCACCCAAGCGAGGCGCGCTGCCCCTGCCTTGACCAATGCCGCCGCAAACAACACACGCAAAGGGGCGCTGCCCCTGCATTTGCTCGCATAGCCGCCGTATCAGACCGCTGGGTCAGCCGCCATATCAGACCGCTGGGTCAGCCGCCATATCAGACCGCTGGGTCAGCCGCCATATCAGACCGCTGGGTCAGCCGCCGCCGCCATATCAGACCGCTGGGTCAGCCGCCATATCAGACCGCCGGGTCAGTTGCCATATCGGACCGCTGGGTCAACTGCCATGTCGGGCCGCCGGGTCAACCGCCGCATGGGCTAGGGGCGCTGCCCCTGCCTCTGCCGCCGCCACAAACAGAGCTCAAAAGGGAACCACCCCTGCATTTGCTCGCACCGCCGCCGTATCAGGCCGCCGGGTATTCCGCCGCACGGGCGATTACGAAGGGGAATTGCCCCTGCCTCCGCTAGTACAACTGAATAAGCAGCATGGGCCAATCGCCCTGCCTGCCGGGTGCGCATAATGTGTGAGTGTGTGTGTGTAACGCACATACGCGTGTCTGCAATATGCCCTGCGCGGTCGTGACGGGTTAATCCGTCGCACCTCGGGTAAAGTGTTAATTACTGAAAGTAAGACAAGGTCGCCAGCCCGCCAACACCGGCACTTACTGCCGGCTCGCCGTGGTATCTAAACAACAATGGCAACAGCGACGACAGCCGCAAGGAAAAAGATAACAGCTCGCCATGTCCAAACAAAGCCCCAAAACAGCAAAGTAGACCCCACATGCTGAAACTTGGTGTAATGCCGCCTAGTACGAGTAGGAAGGGGAGGGGAGCGACAGCAATTAGAGGCGAAGCAGGGTGAGGGATGGAGGAGAGGAGGATAAAGAGAGAGAGAGAGTATGTGTGTGTGTGTGTATGTATGTATGTCTGTGTGTATGTATGTATGTACGCGTGTGCGTGGGTGTGTGTGTGCTTGCGTGCTTACCCACGTGTGCTGAGAGAGATAGACTACACAGCGAATGAAAAAGGAGGCACGCATTGGTTGAGAAGAAGTTCAGCCGGTTTGCTGCCATGATTAGTTGCTCCCGCATAGCATGAGTTCGGGACTAAGCCGAGTCCAGCAGCTGGATTAGGGAGCCGATGAGAGGAAATGGACTAATCGTCCGCGTGAAAGAGCGTCCGCGGCCGTAATATGGGTAGTCAGCGAGATAAAGCCTTGTGTTCTGCTACCATGCGGGGGCTGAAGTGGGCTAGTTCCGTCACGGTTGGATTTCGGCAAGTCCCGGATTTCAGACTGCTCCAACTGCCTTTTTGTCGCCGTGCAGTATGAATTTCTTGTCGGACTACTTAGGGCCCCAGAGGGCGTAAGCTCGTGTTGCAAGGCGCGATGGTTCTGAAAGTCTGCCAGGCCTCGACCCAGTAGATTAGAGATTCAGTTTTTCTCTTGCCAGAAGAGGAGCCGCCAATGACAATTCCACTCAGTGATTGCCATCGGATTGATCGATTCTAACACGTTTGGCTGCTGGCTGCGTGTGGGCAGGACAGGAAGGAAGCATTGTGGCCAGCTCGAAGTATTCCGCACGCCGTATTGTCCTAATCGTCTCCCGTGCGCCAACACATGCGCCGGCCGGGGAAATTCTGGCCTTCTGCAAGCAATAGCAAGTAATGAGTGACGGCTGTGTAAAGTCGCACAACCATGCAGTCGACCGGATGATGGTGAGTGTCCGGCACACATCTTGCTCTGCTGCTCCACCTGCGCATACCTGATACGGTGGTGCGCTTACGGGTGGGCTGCCTGGGCCCCAGATGCCTCCTTGATGCGCCACGGAGTGCCGTCGAAGCACCTGTATCACTTCGGTGATCCAAATGCGAATGCAGCCTTGCCGGTCGCCCGCCGGCCTGCCGCCTACGCGACCAGCCTGAGACTGGCCCTGCCGCATTTGGCGCTTCTAAACGCTGCGATCCGGTAGACAGCTCACTGGGCTGCCAAATACGTGACTGGCTTGAGGACAGTTCCATACTGGGCAGGGCGCCCAGCTCAGGTCGCACACCGTAGCGGCGTGAGCTGGGCGCGGTGAGGGTTGGTGATAACTACAGTTTCCTCCTTCCTCCTCCGGAAACTTCCATTATTCTTTTTTTGCCGTCATCAAGGCGGTAGATGGTGTCGTATCACCCTCGACCGTACCTGTCCCGTACCTGTCCCGTACCGTACCGTCCAATCAAAGACGGCTGGCCACAATGCTTATTCAAATAGGGCTTTCAAATACAAGATCATTACGTGAAGCAACTTGGAAGAATTAGTATGTATGCGAAGTGTATGGGGGGGATGCATGCAGGGCGATAGTGCGGGTTCGAATCCCAGGTTATGTCTAAAAACAAAAAGTAGAAATTTATAAGAATTTATAACATCCCTATGCTTTTTTTGTCTAGGTCATCAAGGCAAAAAAGCATAGCGTAGGGACCTGAGCTTCCAAGCTCTCTCGTTCAAAGCACACCAGTGAATAATTGCAAGAAGGTGCAAGAGAATAGCTAGAGAGAAGAAAGGAACCAAAGAGGAATCCAGATGGAAAAGTAAAAGTAAAGATAAGAAGCAATAAGAACATTGAAAGGATCGGTCACGCAATACAGTCAATTCCTATCATGGATAGGATAATGGGCCGTATGGCTACCCTGCGCACTAAGCTCCCCAAAGCTAGCCTGGGTGACCGTTTGTGGTGGTCTACCATCAAACAAGCAGATGGCAGCAGCAGAGACACCTCCCGATGATCCCAACTCTCACGCCAACGGCTTCATACGACCAACCATGGAGTACTGCTGCCTAGTCTGGATGGGGGGCTCCACTGGCCTGCCTGGACGCAGTACAACGCAGGGCACTAAAGTTGATATGCCCTGGAGTCTCCGTACCAAGCCTGGAGCATAGGCGCAGGGTGGCTGCCCTGAGCTTTCTGTACAAGCTCTGCTTCCTCCCACCGAGCCCCTTGAAAGCAATTATGCCCAAACCTCTCCAGCTGGCGGATGAAACCCCCAGCACCCGTCTCTCCGCCCAGCGACGCCAGTCACACCACTTTCCCTTGGCGTGTAGCCTGCCTCGCCGTTCCCGCTCAACCATGGCCAAGGCTTTCCCTGCTTGCGTGCTGAGCACGTGGAACTCCCTGCCTCTGAGAATCCTCGCACAGCAGCCATACAAGGACGGGATGCTGCAGTTCAAGAAGATGGTCCACCATCACCTGTTGACCAGCAACTGGATGCAAGCAACCGACGCCTTGTAAACCTGCTACATGAATTTGCTGAACTACACGCTCTCATGTACTCTCTCTCTTTCTCAATCCTGAAGTCCTACAATGTCATCTCCGCGAAACAGTTCGGGTTCAGAAGGGGCCTGAGCACGGCTGACGTCTTAATCAAGCTCCACTGTGAATGGTCCAGAGCAACCGGCCTAGAAGGAGCCGCCCGTGTTTTTGGCGATAGATATAGCAGGTGCCTTTGATAAAGTCAGCTATGCTGGCCTGCTGCACAAGGCTTCTGTGTACGATCTAGACGGCCCGCTTCTCGGATGACTGGAAAGCTACCTGCACAACCGGCGCCTGCATTCTGTTGTGGGCGGCCAAGAGTCCTCCCTGCACCACATCCAAGCAGGGTACCACAACGTAGCATCCTTGGACCTACGTTATTCCACCTGTATGTGAATGGCTGTGAGGATACCTTGCCTGCTGGTGCTGAGCTTGCAACCTATGCAGATGACACGACACTGTACCATCTCTGCCACCGCCAGCATATCCGACTCTGCTACACAACTCCAGGAAGCAGTGGACGCCATCTCCACTGGGGTTCCAAGTGGAAGGTCACCTTCGAGCCCTCCAAATCTCAGGCCCTCATCATTGACCACCGCAAGCCTCCCTCAGTGCCCCCACCAGTGCTCTTTAATGGCATGACTGTTCCTGAAGAGAAGGAAATCAAACTTCTGGGCATAGCATTCAATTCGCAATTGTCCTACTCAGCACACCTGCGGGTCGTGGCCTCAAAGGCAGCCCAACGCCTTCACTTCCTGAAAAAGGTTGCGCCCCTGTTGGACTCTAGCGGCCGCACGGCGGTCTACAAAGAGTTCGTGCGGCCAATGATGGAATTCTGCTGCCTGGTGTGGATGGGTTCATGCACATCCAGGCTGGACAAAATACAGCACAAGGCACTGAAGGTTATTGTCCCAGGCTCCCCAGCCTGAAACATCACCGACTGGTTGCTGCGCTTTCGTTCACCTTCAAGCTGTCCTGCCTCCCAACAACAAGCCCTCTGAAGCCCATCCTGCCACCCCCAGCCAACCCCCGCCCAGTGGGTGGTCGATCCACTAGGTTAGCAACAGAGACTGCCCACTGCGATCCGCTCCAGCTCAAGTCAACGTTGCCCGTGCGCACTCGTAGCAGCCTCCGGGGTTCTTACTCAGACTGAATTATTCCCTTGTGGAACAGCCTACCAGCGACCACCCTACCAGCACGGCCGCAACCCAGACAGCTCCAGTCCTTCAAGGGAAAGTGCAACAAGTATCTGCTGCACCTGAACTGGCAGACAGCCACCGACGCCCTATGAAACGGTTTAGACCAGCGCCTCACTAGCATCCTCCCTCCTTCCTCCCCACAATGTGATGTTATCTCTCATTCTGCTTCTCTCACAACCATCTACCCATTGTCCTCGTTCCTCACTATTATTCATCCCCCTCCTCATGGTTTTACTGGACTTTCGTATAAAAAAAATTAAAAAAATTCCATTGACATCCCTACGTACGTATTGAAGTAGGTCGTTATTTTAAAATTTAATAATGAAAATAATATTTTACCAAGCATTCCTGCAAAAGACGCAGAACACACTATACTTGCTATACTTGTGATAGTTGCTAGTACCAAGAGTACATAACCCCCCCAGAGTGTGCAACTCCCACATACCCTGCTGTCCCGACAGAATTTCAAGTTGACGTCATTATTTATGACGCAATGCTCCTTGCACCAGTGATTTACAACATGTGTACGGGTGTCAACGCATCACACGTTTTTCTTTGCAATAATTTGTACAGGATCGATCGGCTTCAGTCAACCACAGGTTCCGGATTCGTCTGATAATCCGTGTACAGTGCGCATTGCATCATCAAAATGACGTCAACTTGAAATTCTGTCGGGACAGCACCCATAGTGGAGTTGCACACAATTTTGGGGGTTATGTACTCTTGCTAGTACTGATAGCTAGATCAGAGTGGATCTGATAATTATAAGCTCAATATAGTAGTTGATTACACAAGAGCTTTTCCGAGCCTGTTGGCAACAGACCCACGACTGTCTGGCATCAGTAAGTCAGACTTGCACTGGTGAGGCCTTATTGATCAAAAACAGCTTGCAGTCTTCAGCAATGGGGAGATTTGACACTCAACGCGGAAGTTAGTTATTGCACAGGAAGAGACCTAGAATATTGTTCCTTGATGTTTGAAAAGAAATTTGGTCTCCATGTTTATAGGAAATGGGGATGATTATGCTGCTACATGTACATGTATCATGATATTGTGCTGCTAAAAATTATCAGGTATTATCATGTCGTATATTATACGACATACTGGATTGGCCGTGGTCACCATATACCTCTAGCCTTACAGCAAAAATGCAGATGCCTAAGTAGAGATGGTGGCAACAAGAATTCAGTAAAAGAAGGCTGAGAGCCAGCAGAGAACCTAGCCAATACGCTCTCAAGAAGCCAAGCCAAGCCAATCCAGGGCACGGGAAGTTTTTGTCTGCAAGCGTCAGTATTGACTCTTGCACTATTACCGCATGCAGATTAACTCAACGTCGAGTGCAACCAAATGAAAGGGAATGGGGAGTAATAGATCAATGTTGGTTGTACGAATGTCCTGAGTATACACGAATATGTGCTGTTAGAAATGGAAGACTGCACTTTTTAAGTCGTTTGTCATGTTGAGACGCACAGTTCATGTTCGCTTCAGATCTCCGGGATGGAGTGATCCATGTACTTCTTGAGACTTCCGATGCTGTGCACATTAATAGAAACATAGCAGAAAGGAACTGTGAGCTGAATTCAAGAGGTTAGGGTCGGTTCACACATTTCCAGTACGTACACGGAAGGGGTGAGCGCATCTTGTAACCCCCCTCCCCAGCAGAACGTGGCAGTGTGAACCAATGCAATGTGTACCAAAAACCGGACGGTAAAGCACCAAGGGCCAGCAAGCTGAAAGTTGGACAATGCTCAACTTTGGGCCCTGGTGCCGATACTACTTGCACAAAAAGTAGCATAATTATACTGTAAATCATGAATATGTAACGAACAAGTAAATCTAACGAGTTAACGAGCAAAGATTTGTCGTTATTTTAAAATTCGTTAGCAGAAGTCGTATGATTTGGGCCTCGCACGATTGAAATCGATCATTTCACATTATGGCATGTAGCGTGTGTTCAACGGATCGTAACTCAGTCAATTCTCAACGGAATTCAACAATCGAAAGATCTAGATGATAGCAGAGACGTTCAGCAGTCGGCTCGAACAACTCCGAAGTCTCTCAGATGAATTTTGACGAAGCGACAGGAGATCGAAAAATTTGAATTTTTTACGCTCTTGCGCTGGATAAATTTCATTTTCTTTATTTTCCTGACATCGAGGTATACTGTGTGATGGACAACAATGAATGTCCTTGACGAGCATTCCTAGTATTATTGCATCTGTCTGAAAAAACCGTTAACTTTTCAAACCGTTAACCTTCGAAAATCAGAAAATCGTTAACTTTGCGGGTCGTTAAAATAATATGATTTACAGTAGACCATGCACCTCGATGAGCGCCGGTGTTTCGACCCAAGCTTTTTTTTAAAGGATTCCAGGAGTTCAAGCCTAGAATCGACCCAAAGACAAGCTAAATTGAGGTCAAAGATCAGATCCATTGAATATTCTTGTAGTCCATTCAATGTCCATTCAATGTAGCATATTCAAATCAGCCAATTTGAACAGTACAACCAAGATGAAGTAGTTCAATGGCAGCAAGCAGACAATGCACGCATCAGCACATCAGCTTTTGTTCTCTGACTTACTGTTTGACCATGTGATTGTAGAGAAAGTCTGGCATGATGGTGATGGTCACTGACGGCAGGGAGACGGCAAAGATCTTCGAGATGTCGTCGTCGGACATTCCGACAACGTTCTGTCCGTTCACTTCCACTAGATAGTGGTCGATGACCAGACCGTTTCTGTTCACAGCCAGCAGCACAGCAATGACAAGAACAAACCTCAGTCCGGACCAAAGAAGAGAGTTACTGTGTCAGGAAAGGGCGAGGGTAGCAACTTACTAGAAGTATGGGCTCCACTATTGTAAGGGTAGAGATGTGCACATACCCATGTTTTGTTTTTGTTTTTTTGTTCGTTTGTTTAGCACCACATGATTCAACCTGTGTTTGTGCCCGGCAATTCTGGAGACTGGCTGTGCGCGAACCCACGCTTGTACCGTAATTCTTGGTTTACATAGAATGTGTGTGGCTATCATCCAGCATAGTTTGAAGTTAGCAAGCAGGGTGCAAATCACGGCTCACTGCACACTGTAATGGTGAGTTCAATGCCCGTCAGCAGGCCGAACTGGCTAGTTGAGAGCATGTGGACCCAGTGTCTATAGTGCACTATCAGACCTCTATGTGACAATGCAAGCAATTAATTATTTGACATGCACGATGTGCTGTGCCTACATGTTCAGAGAATTAGAATATCCGGATAATTAGAAGTTTTCCCCTGGTAATTCGCGGCTCGAATTATCAGCATTCCACCAGTGCAGGCAAGAGCACATTGGTGGATGATAGCACACCCGACTATAGACAGCGGCTGATCATTGTACACTGCGCTGCTATCGCATGTATGTACATACCGAGCGGCAGAAGAGTCCTTGACAATGGCTGTGATGAGACCCCTCTTGTACACGAAGCCGACGTGATTCATAGCGTCTTTCTGCATGGTCACAGTGCGCTCAAACGGCCTGCACGGGACACATACACAACACCAATAACAATGTTGACACCAATCACAACTACCACAGCAAGATATCTGTATAAAATAGATTTAAAAAAATGGAAGCAATGCACATGATATGAAGAAGGGTAGCCAGCAGGTTTTAGCCAATTGAAAAACTTAATTAAATCTGAAACTCCCCACCACAGCATACACTCTCAGGATCTTGTTCACCGAATCAGCAACAAAGCAACTCGAATAACGAAGTCATATACTAGTGCTGATTTCCTCAGACTGATGCTTCACCTGTACCATGAACATGTCCCATACTTCCCAGGGTGATAGCCGTAGCAGCCATACGGGTGTAATCCTGATTGCACCAAGACTACGACACCCAAGAGTTTGCAACTCCGCTATGGGTGCTGTCCTGACAGATTCTAAGTTGACGTCGTTTTCATGATGAGACGTATCCTGGTGATTCATGGACTTGTGGTGTCATAAACATGACGTCAACTTGGAATTCTGTCGCGACAACAGGGTATGCGGGAGTTGCACACTCTTGGGGGGGGGGGGGGTTACGCACTCTTTATTGCACCTATATAGTATACACATTCTACACGCGTACTATGAATATTTATCACTGTTCTCACACTTTACCATTTTAGCAGCTTGCATATGCCCTTGTTATATGTGGAAAACGCGCACTTGCGCCATTTCTGGTGTATAAGAATGATCATTCCTCCATTATCATCATTAT